AAAAGAAGGATAAATGAAAGGCAGGCAAACCATGTTGTGCATAGAATTAAATAGTTTTCTGCTTGTTAATATTTGGAATCTACATTCCAGATGCCATGTATCCCTTTCCAGCAGACACATGATATGAAACACTTGTATTCACAGAATTTGTGCATCATAAGAGTAATCTGCAGTGTATCGATTTCAAATGTGAATGTTTACAGATTTTACACCTGCTAAAACATCTGCTTAAAAAAATATTGTAAGCAAAGTGGCCAATAGCTGGCACTTTCTCATTAAATCTTGGCTTTAATTCAAGATTGCTCTTTTATCCATGAACCAATCTTTGAAAGTAGCAGCAGGAAGAGCGTGCTACGGATTACACTGTGCCATTTGAAACAATAGTTCACTTACTGTTTGAAGAATAACCAATAACAAAGGGTTGATAGCCTAACCTTGTACACAAACAAAAAAAAGCATTCATTGCAACACTCTTACATATTTATTAGAAATACAGCAGAAGCATTCACTAAGGATGTCAATAAATCTGACTTTGTTTATTGAATAACATTGTACTAAAATGAATAAAGAATTTAAGTAGTCCAAAACTGCAGTTTGTGCCATAATGTCAAGTATTACACTCAGCAGATGTTTCAGATTATTGAAAGGAAACCATTAGACAAGGTCTCAGGTTGGTCCTAAAGTATCCACCAGGAAAAATGTGAGTGGAATCTTCCATTTAGCTAGTCACTTCAGTAACAACATGTTTGGTAGTGCAGTAACATTTGAACCTGTGTTGTGATTTAATTTGTCTCTGCACTTTTGTTGGTTTGTATATTTCTATGTTTTTTTTCTATAAATCTATAAATCTAAAAGTGTCGTCCGCAGATATGTAGAGAGTACGATCAAATGAATATCTGCCAACTTCTTTTCTCAGTTCAGGGATACCATTGTCTAAGAACTAAAGTTACTGAACATTATGCAGTGACTAAAGTGGACTGTACCTTGGGATGTCTCGAAGATGTGATAAGGCGCTATATCAAGTGCAAGGATTCTTACTATTACCTGCAGCACCAGAACCATTAGGTTCTGATTGGAATTTCTGAGTTAAGATCTATGATTCACATGAGGTTTGGGCTAAAGATGTCCCAAAACTATGTTTTGCCAATTTCTTCAGGAAGAGAAAAGGATTGACTAGGGAGGGGATGACTTTCCTTGTATTCTGTAAGCAGCATCGATTGAGTAGAGAACCAGAGAACCAATATTGATGGTTCCTATTGACACCTACAATCTCACGATAATGTCTTCTCTGCCAGATACAATTCTACAACTTGGAATAGAGAAATTAATGTTGGGTCACAATTATTCCCATTAAAATATTAATTTTAAATATCTATCATTTCTTTCCAATTATACAGCTGTTTGTCATCATTTCAGAATGGTCTGGTTTAGCAGGTAGAAAAAATAATCCAATTGAAATTTTGGTTAAAGGAATTATGCTCTTTTGTTCATAACACTGCATTAATTATGCATTTTAGTATTGTGTATTCAGCATTAGCTTAAAGGACAGAGGATATATCTACAGCATGCGTGCTGAAAATGCTTTGAATACTCTTGTTAACTTGGGTCACAAAAATAAAGGAATGCATTAAAGTTACAGAGAGAGGATTTGTATGCATCCAAATTCCAATAAGATTAATAATCCCAAACAAAATTCAATGTGAATTGGAGAAATGTGATTATTAATTCATTAAAAGTATAATGCTGATTTTTTTAAACAAAAAAACAAAATCATTACAGCTCAATTCAGATTGCAAGCAGAAAACCTAAAATATCAGACAAATTTAAAAGCTATTTTATGCTGCCTTGAAGTTTTTTTTATTATATCTTTGTAGTCTTGGTGTTGCAGAACCAATACAAGTTTTGTCTTTATTGTGATTTAGATAGTAAGGGCTTTGAAGGTACTGATGCAGACTAAAAGCTTTGCAGGGACTGCAACAGCAATGTTACGCAACAGAATCCTGCTGGAAAGATCTCTCGTTGACGAGCTGCTATGCAGCATTTTTACATATCGTTGTGTGGTTATTATACAAAATATACAGCCTTAAACAGAACACCTATCCATTTTGCTGAACACGTGCGGTGAAAAACATCCTTGAATCGAATTCGAGACACAGAAAGTAAAATGTTCTTTTGCAAAACATATTTCAATGAAACGTTGCCTGGCCCATAAACTGAAGAGAGACAAGATGGATTCAGAGTCCCAGTGTTCAATCAATGTACATATATATTTAAAATCTATTGATTTGTAGCCGATTTGCTCAGTAGGTCACCGTCAATCCTCTGCCAACAATAGCATGTGCTGTCTCTGGGAAAGGTCCTTTGACGCTAAATCATCGAATTAGCATTCTGTCCACAACCTTTTGCCTTCTGGTAGATTGCTAATAACCAGTTAATCAACAATACGTCCAGGTTGTTCAATAGCTGAAATGAGAATTAACTCCTCCTCTCAATATTGATGCCATTTCAGGGAAAAATATTGCAATTTATTAAAACTATGTATATATGGCTAGGTGGTTCAATACTCTGTATTTTACATGTAGCCAGAATAATACTAGCTGTTACACCAGAGTCTCCAAACCTAACCACAGAACTAAGAGTTTCACATAAATATAGGAATATAGCTACTGGTGTAAAGACCCCCTATGGTCTGCCGGATGTAAGTTAATATGGGACTTAAGGTGACCTTACTTTGCAATCGGCAGACTTTTAACATTGCATTGCAATACCAACCATATTTAATCATGCAAAGTCATCCCACGTCTATACATTCCACATTTATAATTGATATGGCATTACAGGTATTAGCAATGTGAGCACTTGAGAGGAAATAGAAAGCAATCTCGGTGGCCAAAAACTTGGCAGAAGAGGATGCATTTCACTTTCAGTGCATTATTGAAATGAGTTTCCACAGTCTTGAACAAGACCACAAGGGGGGGTTCCATTGGCAGGAGAAAATATCTGACTCTTTTTCTCCAGGGTACAGTACATAGTTTACATAGTTGTGTCACAGTTTATGGTGCAGGGCTACATCTGGACTGTGAATTCAGATGTGGGGCTTGAATTCTGAGACAAAAGTGCCGCCAACTGAGCCAGGTTCACAAAAGGACTGTTGAGTGACAATGGTGCCCATTTAAAACTGGAGGCTGGACATTAAGGCGATTTTATTGACTGCCGTTTGATTGCACAGAACTGACCGTGCATTGCCAGAAACCAGGAAAACAACACCGCAGAAAAATAGCATAAAGTGGGGGAGGGTTCATTAAATAAATCATTAATGCTACCAGCACATCTGCCAAGACATAATTCCAGACACTCAGGCACCACGGCACTTCCTTGTTGGGTTCTTATTGGCGTAAAGGAGTTGTCATTGAGGCTGCAACAGTAAATTGCACAGGGAGTCCCAGCAGATAGCACTCTAATGCTTCAGTAGCTACATATTTCCATGTAATTATCCTGGAATGGGTAGAACGAGCATTGCAATAACAGGAGCAGATTCATAATTTTTCAACAGATTGATTTACTATTGTTAATTCCCGATATATTAAAAAAAGGAATTCCTTTCTCCCTCATTTAGTAGATGTGGGGTAATGTGGTTGACTATGTGACAATAGAATATTAACAGTCCATGTCTTGCTGGTTCAAATCAATTTTTTTTATTGATGTTCGTAAATGCTAGTACAACTTCTGTCATAATATATGTAGCTCCTGCAGGAGTATCGTTTTTCAGTAAAGTGCTGTCCTGCTGTCAAATCTTTCATTTCCATTTGAAGTAAACGTCTTCCAGTGTTACAGCGCAAAACCATAGATAACAAAATGCCAATTTAAATGGCAATACCAATTCAGATCGCACGGCTCTAGCAAGAAAAAGACCAAAAAATAAACTGTAGACATTATATAAACAGAAAATAAAAGATGACTGAGTTTGTTTAATGGTGTAATTGTCTCTTGGGGGTTGGGATTACTCAATACCTGATCCAGCTTTAATCTTGCGGTTAATATGATCACTCAAACGCCTCCAGTGCATTAGAGCTTTGTAACATGCTCCCAGTCATGTCTTATCTTCTATACAATCTCTGAAAAAAGCCCATTTTCAGTGACAGTTACTTTCTTGAATACTTCGATATATTTCCTTTTTTCTTTCCCTGACTGTCCTGCGGCTTGGGATGTCCTCCCGACGTGAAAGGCGCTCTACAAATGCAATTTGTTATTGCTATCATGTTCCAATTTTGGACTAGTGGGTGCAAATCCAGTGTAGATTTTACACAGCATTACACAGAGTCCTATGGGACAGAAACAGTCCATTCAGCCCAAATAATCCGTGCCAATTTTTTATTCTCCACATGGACCCCATCCCTCCTATTCCCCTCTCCTATACTTCACTATTCCCTTCTCCCTCATATGTGCCTCACATTTTCTCTTAAATACATTAATGTTTTTTGCTTCTACCACAGCTCCAGCAGTGAATTCCACATTTTCACTACCCTCAGGGTGAAGGTGTTCCTCCTTAACTTTCGATTAAGTCTTCTACCAGCTACCTTAGATTTATGCCCGCTCATTTTGGACTTGTCAACAATTAGAAACAGACTTTCATCATCCACCTAATCGAATCCTTTTATAATCTTAAACACCTCTATCAGGTCCCCTCTTAATTTTCTCAGTTTTCTCATGTTTGTAAATCTTTGCTACGCTCTCTCCAAGGCTACAATATCCTTCCTATAATATCCTTCCTTGCTCCCCAGTACTGTGCACAGCACTCCAAAGGTGGTGTAACCAGGGTCTCATATAAATGTAATATTACTTCCCTTCTGTTTATTCCTCACTAGGTCCCTTTGCTCCTCTTTCCCTCTTAAGTTTCTATCATCTTAAATCTATGCAAAGGTCTTTTGCTATAATTTCTTTTACGCTGGAGCCTTTTGAATGAGCGCAATTTTATTTATGTGTTCGCTTTTTTCATTTAGCCTACAAGGAAAAGATGAAGGAGCTTTCGATGCTCTCCCTGATCTGCTCATGCTTCTACACACAACCACATCCCAACACAAAGTACAACTTTGGTGGTGAGTTACGCTTTCATATCTGTCTATCTGTAAATATGATAAGGAATAATAAAATAACATAGTAATCTGATACATTACTAAATCTGTTGTGTATTTATGGTTATACAGAGTGAAATAGTTATGCAATTGTTCATGTCAAATTCCCTTTACTGGTTAAATATTTGTGTTATGTACTAAATGAATAAGTGCAGTTTCTAAATAGCCTAATGTGCATGAGATCTATGTCAGAAATGCTGTCAGAAGGATGTGGGGTGGCCATTAAGTTTAGAAAATATATCTTAGCTGAATGAATTTCATTTTATCAAATTCAATGAAAGCAATGCTGCATTGTAGCACGTAACTACATTTGCCAGTCGTACACTGTAATAAATTGTATATAAAATAACAAAAAGATTACTATGTACATTCAACACTGCATCTCTCTCTTGGAGATGCCATTACTCAAATCACTGCTCCTTATTAAATGTAGTTTGACCTGGATTTGAAGTGATGATCAGTACCACTGTAGTGAATGGTAATAAATGCACTTCTTATCCCCTGGCTAGTATTGTAACAAGAACTGTTAGTCTCTCCCAAGTACACACCCCTCCAGGTCACTGAACCCAAAGCCGGTCCTGCCCTAGAAGCGCTTCGAGATGTGATAGGACGCTATATCAAATGCAATAATAATTATTCTATTATTATAAATAGGATTTAATATGCAAAACAGGACATGCATTTTTAACCAGTAAAAATTGAAAAGAAAGCAACGTAATAATTAGCCTTTGGATATATCACCCCTCTTCCATATCGAACTCTGTTGGTAGATTAGATAATGCCTAAAAAGATTCAACTCTTTTGAGGCTATGGAAAAAGCAGAACAAAATGATTTTGTTGAAGTCATTATAAAAAAAAAGTCTCATTTACCACAATAAATAACTACAATGAATAATCCTGCCTTTTATATTCTGGAACAAAGTGAGAAGAATTGGCTCTCGTTTGAGTCTTCCCGATCAGTTTCCTATTGCAAACTTGCTTGAACACTCACTGCATTCTTATTATTCTTATGTTCTTATTTGTTGCTTCTTCAGATATGGAAGTGAAACCGATCAACAAGCGAACTTCCGGTCAGGCCTTTGAAGTGGTGCTGAAGCCTCCATCTACTGATTTAACACATGACCAACCTCTCTCACCAAAGAAGAAGGAATTGTCTTTGGAGGAACTCCAGAATCAGCTGGAAGCTGCTGAGGACAGGAGAAAGGTAAACCAGACGTTTCTTTAATTGAAACTTTATTTATTCCAGAGATATTTATTGATTTTTCACGTATACCTACCTTGTTATTTTCCACCTAGTGTACAATGATCGGAATGCAAACACTAACAAGAGGCCACACCAATAATGCAAACTCCAGTCAACCAATATAATGTTAAAATCTCTGCATCCTTCTCTGCTCCAATTTACTTCCCACTGATCATAAATTCTTCTTATTATTAATAATAATATTACTATAATTCAAACAATTTATTAAATTGGAACATGCCCAGTTGTGGTCTGTTGGAGTCCTGTAGCTCAGTGGTTAGAGCACTCGCTTTGCAAGCAAGAGACCTGAGTTCAATTCCAGGCAGGGCGAAACCTTGGGCAAGTTTCCTTACTCCACACGCCTAATAATAATCCCTCCAAAACCAAAAACAATAATAAATTGGTCATTTTCAATCTATGACTGTTTGTGGACATTGCTGTGCGCAATTGGCTGCCGCGTTCGCCCACAAATATACAGTCAACTCACTTTACAGTATATTCTGTGAAGCGCTTTGGGACGTCCTCCCGACGTGAAAAGCGCTATATCAAATGCAAGGATTATTATTATTATTATTATTATTATAAGTAATATCATTCACGTGTTATAAGCTGTGAAAACATATAACTTCAATATTAATAATATATCAGTTCAATTATAGTCACAATAGACCATGAAGCTCCTTTGCTGAACCAATATTTTATAAGAGTACTATATCTGAACAGCCTGGTTAAGTGCATTTGACTGCAGTAAAGGCTTATCATTCTGTGGATTTGCAGTCCCAAGAGGCTCAGCTTTTGCAGCAACTTGCAGAAAAGCAACATCATCGGCGTATAGTTCTGCACCGGGCGATTGTGGATAACTGCGACTTCAGCAGAATCACCGAGAGGAAGCTAAACCAGAAGATGGAAACTTGTAAGGAAAATCGCAATGCTCACATAGCTGCTGTCAAGGAACGTCTCCGTGAGAAGGTGAGTACTAAACCGCAGCCCTTCTTAGTATGTGATTCCATTTCTTCTCAGCTGTGTTTGTGAGCGAGCCAATAAATTGTTGTTTACTATTAACATCGCTGTTTATTACGGGTATTTATAGAGGCAGAGAGATAGCCTCTCTTGGGTGGTAGTGTTGCCCACAAACTACAATAGGAAAAACACCGGGTTTGGATCTTTGTTGATTCAATGGATGCAATCATTGTGTCTTCATACATTGGCTTCCTTTCTTTCACCAAAGGTGGGATAATGGAAGTGAGATGAAGCCACCTTGTTTTCCCAATTACATTTGAACCTTCGGCAGTTCGCAATCAGTTGCAATCTCTTGAAAGCCGAGATAAAAGATAAGTTTGTGGGCCAAGCGGGAAGGGATCCATGGTAATATCAGCGGGTCATTAAAGGCAACATTACACCTGCCTCAACACGATCCCCTTTTGCTAGAAGACGATGCAGGGTGGGGAGCAGCATGCAAAAGGGAAAACATAACGGTAATAATAATAGAGAATAATAATGGGGTTTTCCTAGATTTTATTACTGTAACAACACAAACTGTAGAGTGTGAATGCATAACAGAAGTACGGTGTTTTGGCCAGACAGCAAGATTGGTGCTTGCAGCAATTTCCCAAGTTCCAGGTTTGTACAAACCTGGGGTTAACAAAAGGGTTACGTGCTTGAGGCCAGCGCTGCAGTCTTCTGTAGTCTTGTATAATTGATGTACTTTCCCTAACAGGAATTACATGCAGCCAAGGTCCGCAGGAACAAGGAACTACGAGAGGAGCTGTCTGGCTAAAAAGGTCTCTCCAACCCTTTAAGACCATCACTTCAAAAAGAACACCTTGGAAGGAAATTAATCCCACTAATAACCTAGCTATCAAGCTACAACTTTTTTGTTTCTGAGTACAATACTTCCATATAATAGGTCAAGCTTTTTTTTGCATCAGATTGTTGGTTCTTATTTCACGTGCAACACAGCAAATTGTAAGAAGGCAAAAGTCAGCAGAATATCAGTGATCTAATGACATTCCGAGCATTCGGAGTATTAATTATTACTAACATCAAGCAATTTATAATCTGTCAATGTATTCTAATACGTATGCAGCATAAAGACATATTTATTAAAAAATTCAACCTATCATTGGAAAACACTCTTAAAAAAACAAATAATTACATTTGGGGGCTCTTTTTACAATCCAATCATTGTGTGTTTTTTTTTCCTATCACATTTGATGATTTCTGTCATTTTCTGTCATTTTGGAGGGATTGTCCCCAAATCATATTAGATCCCTTCAGTCTCAATATTTAAAGTACGGCAATTTCTTCATCTATGTCTCAGCAAGTCAATGGATCTCACAACCATGTGCAGAATAATTTATTCTGTTTGATGTAAATATTGATTCACCCAAATAAATAGTATGCTATTAATCACAGATCAACTCATTGAACAAAATGTTCACATAGGTTTAAGTATTTACTTTAAATTGTTCTATTGTTCTATGCACACTATGTCTTTTTATTATATTATCAACCTAACAGAAATAAAGCCATTTTAAGTAACTGCCAAAGAATTAATCTGTGTAAAAGTCACATCTTAACTAAGGCCTCTTATTGCCTATACTGTCTTCATCGTTGGACAGTATGAAAAGTATTTGATCCTTAATCGAGCGAACTATTTTGGCGCTAAATGTTATGGATTGAATTTCTTAATAAATGAAACAGGTTTTATCATAAATAGAAAGTGTCATTGGTCGTACTGTATATAATACAGTGGTTAGATTGAATAAAATCTTTATGCATCTTGTGCTCACTGGAAGAAGAAAAAAACTTCAATTTAAGTAAGCAGTTTTTTGGTAAAAAAATGTTTACCTGTAAAACTCAAAAGGTTAACAGTGTTTGTATGAAAAATGCCCAGAATTATAAAGCTGAATTTTGTCTTATTACTGCTGTAGCTGTGCTGAGTAGAAAATGGTTTGCCAAATATAAAACTGTATGGAGTGTTTTGCTTGATGTGGTTATAACTTTGAGGCTTCTTTTGTAAATATCTAGTTTTATTTCAAAGGATTGTGTTTGGCAGGATAGATCACGAAATTAATCTGTAATCCTGTTCTTTGCCATCATCTCATTTTATTATGTGCCATTTCACGTTGAACTCTGACAGTTTGTATATTTGCCTATCGGACTTGAAACTGGAGTCACAGTAAGAGCATAAATGGTGGTAGATACTTTCATCTACTAACTGTACCTGAGCGTGGCATGTTTTTAACCACTTGACTAGATCTTGCTGTTCATCGATGTGTTTGTATTTTAATCCTTCAGACTTTTGGGAGGATCTTTGACAAATCTCTCCCATCTCACACAGTTAAACGTTATTAGAACATGATCATCCAAACCAGTCATATTGTGTTCCATCACTTGCATTTTAATGTCAGTTTAAGATTGTTGTGTGTGCAAGATGTGATTACAAACAATAAAATCCATGATATGTACATTGGCTTTTTTCCTGCATGTTCATTTCTGTGAATTCACTACGAATTCCTGTTATTTTAAAACGAAACTAATCATTTTATGCCAAGATGAGAAATGGGCAGCAATTCACTCATTAATTGCAAACAAAATGCAAATATTCTAAACTGTAAAAGAAGCTTTAAGGGAAGGGAATGGATAATACCAAACCTCCTGACACCTTCTAGTAGGATCACTGTATAGTATTTAAAACCATTTACCTATCGTGTTCATCTGAGGGACGGGAATTTGAGGTTACAGTGTGCGGTTAGGTCGCTTTCCTTGTTTTCGGTTTAGACGCATCGTATTTTGTTGTCATTAAAAAACCTATTTCATCAAGTGGCTGATATCGCCACAGGAAGAGTGGAAAAACCGCGGTATAATTATCTCATGCAGCACAAAATAATTATCAGAGGCAATTATTTTAGTGCCAGTGCATCATAAGAATCCTGGACCACAGACAACCTGGCTCCTTGCTATGGAAACAGCCACCCCAGAGAATATTAGAGCAGGCAGAAATAAGATGAGGAAAACTGCTAGGAAGTAAAAGATCTAGGAGTGCCAGTCCCCTGAGGACTTGTTATTCCTGTATTATAATAAGCTCCTCACTGCTGATGATGTTTCCAAACATGACATCATTCACAATTTTAAAAAAATTTAAAAAGGTATCTTCCTCGCACAAGATAGCAGCCTCCAATGCAGAGACCTTCAAAATAAAAGTTATATTTCGGCTTCACGGGCGGGGAACAGATAATTTGCTCTTCATTTTTAATGTGATCGACTTCCAATGCAATGCAATTTACGTGTATTTCCAAAATAGATATAAGCGCAGAGTAAAACAGCATAAAACCTATACAATTAACATGACTGCTTCTTTGAGAGCTTGTGCATGCTTTTGAACGCCACCTGTTATTTATTTCTATTAATTTAAAAGGCAACAAATCATTTTGAACTAATCAGGAAAGTGTTTCAGAAAGTGTAGTTACTCCTTAAAGCAACCTCTGTCATCCTACTGTAACAGCAAATCTTTTCCTCTGATCCTGGCTGATGTTTCATCAATATTATTATTCAGTGAGATGCTTTGAGTGCCAAGTGCAGTACTCTCTAATTTATGCTTCAGCGATTAAGTTATGTTAAAATCTCCTAAATGTCAAGAGTATTCCACATTATTGGCATTGTACAAAACCCTCAGGCACTTGATATTACTGTACTATTACAGTATAGATGACTAAAAATTCCTACTTAATATTTTGGCCATAAATGACATTGAGTTATCGCTCGGCTTCCAAAATATGTCTCTAAGACCTTCTTGACAATCTAGAACTGATCATACCGAGTTACCTTATTGCTGAGATCAAACTGGGCTTGATCTACAACAACAACAACTTGCACTTACATAGCGCCCTCCACGCAGGATAACGTCTCAGAGCTCTTACAGTCATCAATCCTCTCATAACAAGGGAACAAACAAATAAAAATTGCACCTCTCTTTCTATTATCTGTTTTTTAATGATTGAAGATTTTATTGTTGTAATAACATACAAAAACAATGTTACAGTTATTCGTTCGCCATGCAGATTAAAATTAACAATATGTTTTACACATTATTGGCCCTCTGCTATCATTGAACCACTCACTGTCCATGGTGAATACAGTTTTAAGCTTGTGTGATGGAATGACATTTTGCCAAATATAGAAACTTTTTTTTTCAAAACACAAAGCAAACAGCATCTTAGAATAGGTTGACAGTGATGTCGATGCAGAAACAAACAAGAGCAGATCTGGTGAGAGAAGATAGGCAACAAAAGAAGCTCATGACGTAGAATCTTATCTGAACCAGTTTGATAAAGCGAGTGATTCTGATGTTCATAAAGCCAACAATTTCCTCCCTGAGATAGATGAGGATTATTGGATGAGAAGCAGTAAAAAAAAGATGAAAAGAAAAGATCTCTGAGCAGTAAAAAAAAGATAAAAGTGTGCCAGACTGTTACAAAGGGAACTTGGCACAAATACACCATGCTCTGGCTATTTAATATTATTATTATCACCTCAGTTTTAAAACAGTAAACATTATTCTAGAATAATTCCAAGCGTCTCACATTAGGTTATGGCAACAACTTGCATTTATATAGCGCCCTTCATGCTGAGGAATATCTCTAATGGCTTTACAGAGATACTGCTGGACACGAAACACTGGAAGGGGACATTGGAGGGAGGAGGTGATGGTAGACAGAGGTAAAAATGTAGGATTTTAGAAAGGCAGCAAGATGGGAGGGAATTTTAGAGGGTTGGAATTTTAGTGGCTGAAAGCTTGGTTCCTCAAAGTGGGTGGATGATTCGCATAAATGTAGAAAAGTAATCTTGGACAGAGACCGGATATGAGGAAAGAGAGCTAAGTGTTTAAGCAAATGCCAAGGTTGCAAATTGGTTCAGGTAGTTGGAGAGAGAGACCAGGAAGGTTGAGGAAGTTGGAGCCAGAAGCAAGGAAGCATTCACAGGAAGGATGGCTTCATCTTGTCCATGTTTAGCTGAAGAAACTAAGGCTCATCTGCGACTTGATGTCTGACAGGTAGGTGGGCAAACAACTACTTTTGAGAAGTTCCAGCAGTTCTCCAAACTAATTGGTTCTGTGTTTCCAATGAAATTGGCATTAATACTCTATGCAATACAATTCAGCATTTGTTTGCTGAGAGTAACAGATTCCACCCCCTCACCCCACCAAGCAGAACACATGATTTATGGAACTGTACATTGCACAGAATTGTACATAACAATGTTGATGTAGATATGTGGCTGTGCTGCAATGACAGGTTTTCAGAAAAACGGGAATTTAATAGTCTATGTGCAACTTTTCAACATTAATGAGATTTCATTGGGATACGAGCCCACCTGCAAAGCGTCATTTTGGATATTTTTCCGTTTTTGCCGTCATGACTTCTTTTCCAGGAGCTGATACAGTGTTCAAGTTTGATGCAGTTTCCCAGATTGGTTGCTTAATGCAAGGAGATTGCAAGGAACCTGAAATCCATGTTTAATGAGGCTATTAATTTGAATTGTTACAGAGAGAGAAAGCTATCCAGAGAAAATTAATCTATTCAGAAATCTTAAATCACATCAACAAAGTTTCCATTTGGCTCCACCTAGCCACACAGCAGATTAACATAAAAGCTAAAGGATTATTATTATTATTATTATTTGCAGTTTAGCAATTAGCAACACAGCCTGAATGAGGTAAGAAAACTAACACTGGTGTGGACACATCATGCTCCGGTTTAGGAAAAGATCTGGCAGATGATGTTTCTGTATTTCACAGTTTCTGGTTGGAGCAGAATGGCTAATTATGTTTCGTTCTTAAGCAAATATTAGCAATATTTCTAGAAGAGGACACATTTCTTTCCTGACAAGGAGAGATATATTTCAGGGAAGTCAGCCTACAAGGCCACAAGTTCCAATTACGGTTCATAAAGTGGAAGTGAAGACAGGAGACAAATTTGTGACATAAAAACAGAAGTCGCTGGGCAACGTGTAGCAGGTCAGGCAACGCCTTTGGAGGGAGCAAAATGTGACAAATAAAATGTGACGTCCTTGGAAGGAAAGGTCCCAACACAAACTGGTACCATTCTGCTGAACAGTTATTTCTGAGAAGACCATATTTTCTCTCCACATATTACACCTTTTAACATTTGAAATGAAACATTTAAAATAACGTTATGGGATATAGTACATAGGGAGTTTGGGACATATGTGCATGTGACCACCAGGAAGGTGGAAGACGAACTAGATGGAGCTTAGTCTTTTTTCGTTCAGCATTTCTTATGTTCTTATGTAAAAGTTCACCAGGAAAAGAGAAATTTGAAATCATTTAGGTTATATCTTATTGTGAGTGTACACATGCCCGTCTTTTCACCATGTATGTAAGAAACTTTATTGAAACGTAATAATCATTTGGATTGGCACTAACTCAGAAACAAAACCAAGTAGAAAACTATGAGATAGAAACCTTTTCAAACACAGAATCTTCAGATTAACAGATTTGGTGCCAGTTAGTTGCTGGTTTCAGCTACTTTAACAGGCAGTGTGAATTGGATATACATTATTTACTGTTGAGCTCCTAAGCAAATACTAGCATCATAGCTCCAATATTAAATTTGAATGTCTCAGTGTTGGCACCGTTGAGCAAAAATATAATATATGAATCATATTTGTCTGTTTCTGTCATCAAGCTAACTGCAATTCAAATATATTTTGCTTCTATAAAGCTAACACTTGAATGAATTTATCGGTTTATGTGAGATAGTGCAGCTCTTATCTGACAAAAGTTGTAGACACTTGTAAACCTAGTCAATGGCAGTTTAATAGCGAGCCCTTCCATCTCTCACTGAAATATATAATTCATTATGAGTTGGTTAAACATTCACCAGAAAGCAAAGATCTGTCATACTGTTAAATATAATAATAGCTCAAAAAATCTTGAATAAATCTGTGAAAAAAATGCTGAAATACTCATAAACTAACCAGGCCAAATGTGCTGTTCTGATACTATGCGATGGGTAGAAAAGTAAATGTTGATATGTGCTTATTTTATTCTATGTGAAGGGCTCTAAATAAATTCAGTCGGGAGTGGTGCTTTGCTTCCTGAGGATGGGAGAGAGTATAACTTCTAAGACATTTTGTCTCCAATTCTCTTTTTAAAATAGCTTTGCTGTGGTATTCCACTGCAAGATAGAATGAAACAAAATCCCCAAACGACTACGGGTTATATTAAATGGTTCAGTTATCTGTATTGGTTAATTCCTGTGTTTCAATGTAACTTTTCTAATTTCTCAATCTGCTTTTCAGTGCTGTTCTCCCATTGATCCCATCTGCAACAAATAAAAACTTACATTTACAAATTGTGTTGTTCTTCAACAAAACCCCACAAAATATTCTCCGCCCTGGCCAGGATTATTTATCAAAACTTGATTATTTATTTACACTTGGCTACAATTTATACCGATCCTGTTCCTTATCATTTGTCCCTTCAATATCCTGGCACTATCCCAATGAACTGTAGATCTCAGTGAAGTTCACTAACACAGAAGCCACTGCCGTACTAAGAAACAAAACAGCAATTTATCCACATCCAACAATTTCCCGTAGATCTTAAACTTCACTCTTTACTTCGGTCATTTCAAGAAATGAACAGGATCAAGAACTCAATATTCTTGAACCAGGACTTTAGTCAAATAATCAACCAGAAACCAACCCAATAATCAACCGAGCTTCCCATCAAGCAACGAGACTCATCTTAAATGAAAATGTAAGATGAAGCACTCCGGGACGTTACCCCATGTGAAGGGCGCTATATAAATGCAAGAGGTGGTTGTTGTTGTTGAAAATATTGTATTCACCCTATGTTCATTATTATACATTCAGTATCAGATATTTGAGACAGAATCAGTTCTCAGAACAATTTAAAATAAAACTGTGCCTAATTGGCCACTTGGGGGAGGTTTGTATGCTCAGTCCAAATCGTTTCCTCAGGAAACCTTTAACTTGTCCATTACATTAGAGCAAACTGGGCAGAATTTACTCCATAAATGTTGTTCTTGTCTCTATTCCCAAGAGCTTGGCTCAGTGAGTAGCAGAGGTTCATCTCAGAAATGTTTAATGTTTGCTTCGTGCAAATTGAATTTGTGCTGTTGCAGCACGTGGGTTTTTACCAATATTGCTAGAACAGTTCTACAATGCCTGTTCCCACGTTTTGTTAAAAATGTGGGTTTCTAAAAATGACAAAGCACTGAAATTTTACGGTTTTTCAAATCAGCTTCAAATCCAAACCGGTCTGAGTCAGCTATGAGTGGGTTAAAGAAATGTGGCTTCGAACACGCTCGGCTGCAAATGTTCCTGTGTGCCTTGTATCAGGGTGTGCTGCGTGATACAAGGCACACAGTAACATTTGTGCGCTGAAATACTGAATGCTGTTGCGGGTTTTTTTTTAAAAGGGCGACAGCAGAAGGTGGAGGGTTGGAAAGCATCAACTTTTCCTGTGTCCATGTCATAACAAGTTTAACAAAACCTGCACACGTACATTTTCTACTTGATTTACTGTTAATTCATCTACTCTACATACATACTGAAGATATCCTTATCGCTCTCTCTCAGTCACCCTTTGTTACATTTTATTTGGTAAATGTTCTGGTTAAGGGAGGCTAGGAACCGCAAATTTGCACCAATGTGACAACTTGAATGTCAACCGTGGGTTGTGGGCCTCAAGTTTTATTGAAAAAAACATGTTTTGGGGTTTCTGCTTTCTCGTCAGTACATCATCAATATTGCACTGGTCGCAGTTATTTCAAGATTGTGCACTGCCAACCTTACGTATCAAAGGAGAGACGCAGCAACTGGTCAAATGGTGACATGTGAGCAGTGTCCACCAGGGACATTTGTAAAGCGCCTTTCACGTCGGGAGGATTCAACCAAATTTCTTTGTACTTTTTTTTGCAATGTAAATCTTAAACTTTGCAACCTATTCTGCAAGGTGACCAGGTTCTTAATAGAAGAATTGGTGCCATTTAAACGTCATGCCTGTGAATTCACCTGCTGCAGGGCTCGAACCAATTTGTAAAGGTCAGACGAGCTTTACAATATATATTTGAAAAGAGCCTGATCAACAAATTTAGTTCAAACTGCTTAGTTTGCAGATAAAGAGGGCGAGGAAGGATAACTCCACAATTTACAAAGGAAACTTCACGACTGGAAGAGTTACCAGAAATGTTAGCATCTGCTGAGGCTCAGTTTCATTCAAAAGGTTTATAAATAATATTATTATTATTATTATAAAGTAAAAGAGACCCAGTTTGAAGCACAGGAAAGCCATGTTTCTTTCTTAGCTGAAACTAAAGTAACTAACAGAGTACTTTGAAACTGTTACAAATACTGCCTCAGCACCCAACTTATCCTTCACATTTGCAGTTGACTTTGGGTGAATTAAAAGTATTTTGAAATTCATGTCCTCATATAAACATTGGCAATCCTATCATCTTTACAGAAAAGTAAAAAGTGTCCAGGGAGCAAAGGAACCATCGGCAGAAGGTACCTGAAGCAAGTTTTCTTTTATAATAAAATTCTGCTGATGAAGCGACAGACAGGCTCTTATCAAAAGATAGTGAAGTCCTGTAGCTCAGTGGTTAGAGCACTCGCTTTGCAAGTGAGAGACCTGAGTTCAATTCCAGGCAGAGGGCGAAACCTTGGGCAAGTTTCCTTACTCCACACAGAGCCTAATAATAATCCCTCCAAACCCAAAAACAATAATAAATTGGTCATTTTCAATCCATGACTGTTTGTGGGACATTGCTGTGCGCAATTGGCTGCCGCGTTCGCCCACAAATATACAGTCAATTCACTTTACAGTGTGTTCTGTGAAGCGCTTTGGGACGTCCTCCCGACGTGAAAAGCGCTCTATCAAATGCAAGGATTATTATTATTATTGTTTGTAGACCTTGGCCCTGAAGACACTTTGCCTCCCAGGAAATATTAGTATGAAATGTATGGGTTCTGCACAATCAAGGTTAGGAACTGGTCTACGTGAAACCATGCCACGAACCCAGAAAATATTATTAGTACTTTTACTTCCGTATGAATGTTATTCAAACTGTTTTTTCTTAAAAAAAAGACAATGCAACTTTGCTTTCGAGACGTCTCGCAGTCGCCACGAGACGCCGCGTCAAACGCGAGGAGTGTTATTATTACTCGCCGCGACGACGACGACGGCGACGGTGGGTGCCGTGAGCTCGCTGCCCCCGCTCCACTGGGAACCGGCCCTACCCCCCCCTCCGCGTCCCGTCCCCCCCGCCCCCACCCCCGAATCCTCCCCTCCGCCATCGCCGGCCGTGCCTTCAGCCGCTTGGCCCCGAAACTCCCTCCCTCAACCCCTTCGCTTCGCCCCCCCCCCCCCCACACACACACACACACCCCCGACCTCGCGCCCCTCCTTCCCCATCTTCAGGTCGCGCCCGAGGGACCTTCCTTGCCGACCGCGCCCTACGGTCACCTTCGCCCCCTCCCCCCCATTCCCCCCTCCCCGCCCTCGGGCCCCGCCTTCGCTAAGCGTTTGAGACGAGAGAAAGAGGGAGCGATAGAGAGAGAGAGAAAGAGAGAGAGAAAGAGAAGGAAGAAGGGTGAGGGAGGGAGGAGGCTCCTCTGGTCTGGTCCTTGGCCATTCCTCAGCACGTTCCAGTGACGCAGTCACGTTGGCTCCCAGCCAGCGGCGCACGTCGCCCGCCGGCCCGACGCGCCCGCGTGCGCACGTCACGTCACGCACGTCACCGGGCCGCCGACGTGCGCCGCGCTGTGTCCCCCCCCCCACCACCACCCCCACCGCGCGCGCCTCTACGAAAGAGTTTACGTCGCCGCCCGTTGACCCGGTTGATGCTCGGGATTCGGGGTTTTTCCTAAAGACGTGGGGGGTGGGGGTCCGGCCTCCCGCCCGGTACCCAGGTAAGGGGAGGGGGCGGTGCGGGGCGGGGGACGGGGCGGACAGAGAGCGAGCGGAGGAGGAGGCCGCCGGTGGCCCGCGGTTTGCAGATCGGTTCAACGTCGGCCATTTGCCGTCGCTTCCCGCCGCCGTAGAGGAAGAGGCAGAGCCCGTGTGAGGGCGGGAGGGCGGGAGGGCGCCGTGCCGTACCGCGCCGCGGCTTTGCCTTGCGGGACGTCAGGACGCCGCCGTGCCACAACTTGGACGGACGGACGGACGGACGGCGGCGGCGGCGTCAGGGCTGCGCTGCGTAGCGTCGCGGCCGCCGCCCCGTCTCCCTCTCGCTCGCTGGGGTTGGGTGGGGATTGGGTTGTGTGTGTGTGTGTGTGTGTCTGTGGGTGGGTGTGTGGGTGGGGGGGGAGGGGGTTGGGTTGTGTGTGGGTGGGGGGGGGGGGGAGGGGTTGGGTTGTGTGTGGGTGTGTGTGTGGGGGTGTGGGTGGGGGGGGTTGACCAGCCTCGCCGGCTCAACCGAACGTGATAGGCGAGCCCGCTCGGTGCCGATTGGCTGCCTGCCCGCACCCGCCTGGGTTTTCCGTGCCGCCCATTGGTCGCGCGCGGTGTCAATCAGTCGCGGTCCCGCCCCCCCCCCCTCTCCCGCCTTTAAAGTTAGGTTGAGGCGGAGTGAGAGGGGGCAGTTGGCGCCTTGTGAGGCGGATGGATTTGCGGGTTAAACCCCCTCCACACCTCCCCCCCCCATACCCCCCCCCACACCCCCCACCGGCCCCGCAGCTCACAGCGGCTTCATAACTCGCACGAAGCGGTTCAAACGCGACCCTCGGGGCTATGTTTTTATATATATATCCTTCAGGGTGGGGGGAGGGAGGGAGGGAGAGAGAGGATGGGGGGGGAGGGTATGGTGGGGGCCGCCCGGCTCTGGGCACACGTGCTGATCACTTTTTATTTATTTTTATTTTCTTTTGCCCCCCCCCCCCCCAAAAAAAATAATTAAGATGGCGCTGACGGGGCTGCGGTGTCTTGAGACCCTTAGGGAGGAACTGGCCTGAACTGGAGACTTTCTAATACAACTCTTCTCCCTCCCTCCCCCTCCCCTTCCCATCCCCCCTCCCCTTCGCATCCCCCCTCCCTCCCTCCCACCCCCACACAAAGAATCCTCCCCCCCACAAAGATTGCCAATCTCACATCTGCTTTCATTTTATTTTATCCGCCCCCCCCCCCCCACACACACACCCACACAGAGACACACACACACAGATGGGTGCCCCACATTTTGCCAAACTTGTGAACTCCTTTTTTTTTACCCACTCACTCTGGTGTGATGTTGGTTTTAGAACCGGATTCACCCGGAAAATTGTCCCGATGGAAGTGACAGTGCCTTTTAAAGAATCTTGTACCCCCCCCCCCCACCGACTCTTATTTTTTTCTCTAGTCGGACATCTATTTCTTTACACACCGACCGCACAGTCTGGGCAGTAAAGGTTTCCTTTTCGGTATGTTTTAAAAGAGCGAGTGTTGGCACGAGCAACTTCCCACTAATTCTGCTTTAAATTAGTTTGGAATTGAAAGCGTTTCCTCCTCGAGGACATTGCCCAATCAGCATCACAAATCAATCGGAAGAGATGTGGGATTTCACAGATTTTTTTTTTAAGCGCATTTGTTGATACAGATTTGCCTAAATGCAGGTGGGGAGACTTCCAAATGTTACAACAGTAAGAAACCTTTTTTTATATAAGTGGATGATTCTGCCTAGTAAACTATTTGGGTTAGAATAGGGAGGAAATAAATTCATACCATCATAAGCTTTGTTTACATTAACTTCTGAAGTTGCAGTGGATGGCATACTTGCCTGAGACAAATAGTAAGATTGGAAATCCACTGAAATAAATAGAATCAACTGTATCTTTCATAGAGACACGATTAAATTAAATGGGCTATGCTTTTTTTTTACCAGAATCAGCAAGTACTACTGAAATCATGGAAGACTTCGACATGGCTTGTAGAAAAATAAACCGTATCGGCTGAGTGCATACCCAAAGACAAAATAAATTGACTCCAGAAGTATGTCTTAATGCTGTTTGATTTTTGTTCTTTTAAAATGGCAGCTTTATTGTGTGCTGTTTAGATGCAAATCCAAGCTCAGCAGAGGCTCTGGCCTTACACTCAACATGTTGCAACAGAATAGTTGAGCAGTTTTTTCACAAATGACTGGAAATCTGCCTCAAGGAGTATAGCGAGAGATTTTGTGCAGCTCAAGCAAATCCAGTTCTGTGTTTCACTCCTTTGCAGCGGTTTTCCAGAAAAAGTGTCTGCTGTGCAGCAGTCTCACTACTGGCTTTAACATGAAAAAATTACAAATTTGATTTTAAACTTGAGCAAGGTGAACAGGAAATCTATTGTTAATTTCTACACGGGGTGTGCAAAACATATTGGCCTCAAATTGAGCAGAGGAGAATAAGAATAGCCTTGTTTTTATGTTTCACCTGAATACAGATATTTTAAAACGTAAGAAATTGTGAACATTTTGAAAGCTTAGAGCTTTTAATTTGTTGAAATTTATGTTTGTCTTTAGCTGGGAAGACCACTGACATCGACTCGCTTTCAAGCCCATAGCCATGGCTACTCCAGACGTCAGTGTTCATGTGGAGGAGGTGGTTGTCGTCACAACACCTGACAACCCGTCAGATGGAAACTCAGTCGAAGAGGTTAAGACAGTTTTAGTAGACTTCAAATCAACACAGCCTAGGTAGGGAGTGGTACTCCAGTATTGTCTCATACGTGATGTGCTTCTGAATTCTGATAATTGATCCAAGTAACTGGGCAAACTGGCAACCGACTTAGTTGATATCATTGGAGTAGTTGAGGAAGGGAGACCCAGAAATAGCAGGCAGGCATGAACTTCCTTCAAATTGTTAACAATTCAGTAAAGATAATAAACGTATTTGGAAATGGGAGGAAATACTTTGTTCCCTTTCTTCTTAACTGAGTTTCTACGAGCTTGAATGTTAAAAATTTGAAACAACTGATGTAAGCTTTCAGGAGTCTACCCCACTAATGACTGGATACAAATATTTTTGAAGTTAGATTCATGTGAGATTTAATTTGCCCTTACCTTATGCTTGATGAGTATCTGATCCTGACGCTATGGTGTCCAAAATAGAAGAATGGTTTCATTTCAGAGTTGGTTTCATTTCATTTTCCCATCAAATATTCACCACAGTAAACAAATTCAAATTGTAACTACCATTTGCAAACTCTGTTCAAACCTTATCAGATCCAAGAAATAAATAATCCTTGCATTTGATTTGAAGTGGCGCTCATCAAGGTTACAATAACTCTCTTTTTATTAAGCTTGATAATTTTAGTAAGGGGTTATTGAAAGATTCCATAATAATCGAGCCCTACATTGAATAGCTTCTGAAATTCACTTTTTTAAAAAAAGTGTGGGCTCTTAAAATCTCATTTGATTTATGATTTTAGTGGAATTCCTTAGAAACTCTTCATGGTTTACGTGGTTACTCAGTAGAACCGTAGAAACTCAGTTAAAGAGAAAGAAAGGGAACAAAGTATTTCCTCCCATTTCCAAATATGTTTATCCTGCAGACCGAATAAACAACGGATGTATCAAGGAATGGAGTTGTGCATTTTCAGGATTCTTTATCTTTTTGTAACCTAATACCAGTTTGATACAGTTTACAGGATGTCTGCTTTTATAATGCTCAGAAGAGTTTGAGAGAAAGGGGGAATTACACCTCGCTGATTATAAAGCCCAACACATTTTGAAAACTTTTAAAGTGGTCTTGTGCACATGACAAACCACGATAAAATTGTGATATCAATAGTTACAATCTTAATTTGTATTTATAGATAATTTCCAAGAAAAAAGGCGATGTTCATGTGATTTATTCAAGTGTGTAAGCTACTTAAATTATGCTTATTGCTGAAACACAACTAACAGCAGTGTGCCAATTCAAAGTGTTGACTGGTATACATAGGTTCCTGCAATTAGGAGTAAATATAATATAAATTGTACTTCCGCAAAAATGTATTAGTGAATACCTGTAATAAAGCATCCTAAATTACTTGATCAGCAATATACTGTATCTAGTCTTTAGCAGCAAGTAATAACAGAATACATTACCTAGTATACAGCTGCTCAACAAGAACCATAACGCTTTTGAAAGAGTTATTTCCATGATGTCTAGGATATTCATGAGAAGGGGAAAAACTCATTATAATCTCAACGCATAAAACGCTGTGGGCCCGTGTATTCATCACATAGAGTTTTTTTTTAAAAAAATCATACATTTATAATAGCTCATTTGACATATTGCATTTGTGCAATTCGGTCAATAATTGTTTTTTTTGTATGGCATGTGAAGGGACTGCAAAGTTTTGTATAAGTTTGAAATGATTTGCCTTACAAAGTTTACGGGCTTCATTATCGTGGCTTAACATTTCTGTTGAAAGTACTGTAAATCTATGGGACACAAGAAGCAAGAGGTAACCAGTGATAATTGGGTGGCAATTAACATTCTTTTGAATACTGTGGCATGGATGCATTTAATTTTCAGGTTTATATTAAGTATTGAACTGAAATAACTGAAAATATTGAATCATCCAGTGCAAAAGAATCCAGAGAAACAATATCACTAATCATACTTATTTTTAATCGTTCGTAAAGCAATATTAATGCCAAAAAAAAACATTTATACAGGGCTACTAAACTACTAAATTTCAATGAAGCGCTTATTAATAAAGACAATTTAACAAACTAGGAATATTTTGTAACAAAGTACTGACATTTGTTTATTATATCATGCAGCTGGAAATGCTGTTCTGTGTTATATCTGATAGTTCTGATAGTGAAATAGATATTTGCATTCAACTTACAAGTTATTTCTCTCCTTGACTAAGCAGTGGAGGATTAAGTGATGATAGTATGGACTCTGTCAATACTCCTGGAACCTTTACATCCTCTTCCACATTGATCCAGAAAGGAGATATTATTGGTAAGGGTCGCAACAACATTCATGTGCTCACGTTTCGTTGTGTTAAATTCAGGAATAGATTTTGTTCTCCAAATTGAACTCAGGTCTCTCACTTGCAAAGCGAGTGCTCTAACCACTGAGCTACAGGACTCCAGTAGTGTTTACAGCTTGCAGTTAAAATGATCCTGTGCATTATGGAGCCTTATGTTGAGTTAAACATCCTTTTGACTGTCACCCCTGGTTAGTCTTGAAACTGTAGCAGAAGTCTCCACTGCTGTGCGCAATTGGCTGCTGCGTTTCATCCACAAAATATACAGTCCATTCACTTTACAGTATAATCTGTAGTGTTTTGAGATGTCTCAGACATGAAAAGCGCCATATCAAATGGAAGGATTATTATTATAATAAGTCCAGTAAAGTGATGCACAATGGAATTTCAAGGACTAAAATCTTCTATTAGATTAGATTTTCTATTATTAAAAGACAGTTTTAATTGTTAGCATTTTCTTTACAGAGGTGAAAATTGGTGATGATGAAGATAACATGGTGGCAGAGATGATCTACCCTATAACTTGTGGAGAAAGTAAAGCTAATCTTGTTTGGAAGAAATTTGTTTGTCCTGGCATCAATGTAAAATGTGTGCAGGTGTGTGGTCTGTATAGTTGCTTATCAGAACTTTTTTTAATCCAGTGAGCAATTATGTAAAGGGGAAAGGGCATCCCTTACTGACCTTGGAATAATGTGAATATGAACCAGGACATCGTGGTTCTTTAAGGCTTCAGAACATCAAATAAATTGAAAATGGAACAAGAACCCACCACACTATTTATTATATATTATTTATTATATATATTTATTTATATTAATCCCACCATTGGCGGGAGAGCCTTCAGCCACTCTGCCTCAATCTCTAGAATTCCATCCTCCAGTCACTCCGCCTCGCCCCCTCCTCAGCCTCCTTCAATTCCCGCCTCAAGACCCTCCTCTTTGACCATGCCATCGGCCACCCCACTTCCCCACCCCCGACCCCAGCTCGGGTCTGAAATGCTGTACTCTGTCCAGCGCCCTCCCGACGTGAAAGGCGCTATACAAATATAATCTTGTTGTTTAGATAATATAATTGTCCGTTACAGCAATCTTGATAACCGAAAATACATAATGTGCGTAATATTCTTTTTACAATGATGACAAATCTTGGATAATAAAATTAATTGACGCTGCTTTTCAAAGAAAAATGCTGTAAATTTTTGGTTAATTGACTAATCTTGCAATATTGCTTTAGAGATAAAACTGATAATGGAAGTGACAACATGTGATGTTTTTGAGTGACTACCTTTGACTATTACATTTGTTTTCATTTTACTTCTAGTTTGACTATCAGCTTATAAGCCCCAAAGAGTTTGTGAATCTAGCTGGAAAATCTACACTGAAGGACTGGAAGAGAGCAATCCGTTTGAATGGAGTCATGCTGAGGTTTGTGTTCTGCAGGCCACATTTTTAAAAAATGTTTTCGTAAAGATATGTGAGTTCCATTTCAGATTGGTGGCCATTTTTGGCTGTGTGAGGCTTTTGAGACTTTGCATTGTGTAGTTAGATGTTGTTGTCAAACAAATGATGTGAACGAATTACCAAAATCTAAAGAGAACAAGGAAGCTTTTAATGAACAGAAATATTATACTATTGTGAACAGCCTCCAGAAGCTAGGAGTACGCGAATCTCTGCTAAGGTCAGTGACAGCTGAACGGAGATGGACTTCTTGGATGCATCACTGAAGTGTTTTTTTCCCCCCCGGATCCCAGCTGTGAGGCTTCACATATAAGCCTCTGCGTGGCTGCTTCTGCACATGGTAAACAGAGAATTTCTGCTCTCAGAAAGGGGAAAGGGCGTTTATCTTTCATTGTAGAACAGTGCTGTAGATTAAAGGCACATCTGCATGGTAATGTTCCCCTTTTAATGTTATCAGCCACTATCGTAGTATAGAATGCAAAATGGTCAAAGCACTGATATTACCTTGTTTAGTTTATAAATGAGAAATCAGAATCGGGCAGGTATTGCTTTGTGAATCTATGCCGATGCTTTGAACTGTTCCTTTAGATAAGGATTAGGTATCAGGCGTTCAGCCAATAAAACATTTGGAGCATTCCTTGCAGACTTTTTGGCAGCTCAGCCTCAGGCACTGGCACTGTGTGCAGGCAGCTATTTGAGCATTTCTGGGGATACAGCATTCTGTCTATGCTGCATTGGTAGAAGATCACACTCTCTTGCCCTTTCTGATTAGTTTTTACAGATACACTCTCATGCAGTTATCACATAATCCATGAGAGGTCATCTGTTTGCTGTGAATACTGAAATGCACGACCCCGATATTGGTTGCTAAATATGTTGAGGCTTCAAAAGTACCTTGCTTTGTGTTCGTAAATCGGCCACCTTGCATCTGTTTCAGCCAATATGGGTAACTGAGTACAGCTCTCTGCCCTGTGATGACTGAAATGAACAGCAAGGGAAGCTACAGACCCAGGTGACGCATCAGTGTGCGTTTTGATTTCAGAGCTCTGGTCATCAATTTCTCTCATGCAAAAACAAAAATTTGCTCACTCAATTCACGACCGACTGTTTGCGGGACACTGCTGTGCACAATTGGCAATTGGCTGCTACGTTTCGCTCACAAAATACGGTCAATCCAATATACAATATATTCTGTGAAGCACTTTGAGACTTCTCAACGACGTGATAAGGTGCTATATCAAATGCAAGGATTATTATGCAATTACAGTCAATACCTTCTAGATCTTGCTGGAGTTCTATGTGAAAAGTAGTTTTGTAAGTTTGGGTCGGAATGATCTGATCATTCGAAAAGAGATTGACCTTTGTATTGGATTTGGAACACTGTACTTTATTGCTGGGACATCAGATCATATCCAGCTCTCATAACAGGCCTTTTCTGCTGGCTGTTAGAACTATAAATAAATTTTACCGGTACAAGCTGCTCTGTCGGTTCATGGTTTACAATTGCCGAAGAACTTCATTGGAATGTGCATGTATGTGTCCTCGGTACTGTCATATAATGATGTTCCGCTCTGCATGGCACGCGGATCTGGGTAATAATCAACTTTATCTGTTCTATTTTATTTATCATGCCCAACTTCAGGAAAATCATGGATTCAGGAGAACTGGATTTCTACCAGCATAGTCTAGTGTGCTCCAATACCTGTCGTAGTACAAAGATCGACCTTTCCAGTGCCAGATCATCTTTGAGCAGCCAACAATCAACAGATTACATCCCAGTGACTCCTGTTACAGCAGATGGTAATATATTTGGTATCTGAATACTGAGTCAAATTTGAGGGAAGAACATTTTTGTTAGAAATAGATACATTTCATAAGACTTAAATGACCCAGTCTCACTACTGGGATTATATATTTTTTATTCATATCTAATTATCTTGATCATTTATATCATACTAAAAATAAATTGGTTTCAATAATAATGCTGTCATTTGAACTTGTAGCCCAAGAATGCTACATATTTAGGCTTGCTGATATCCTTGCATTTGATATTTTGGCGAACCACCTTTCCTGTTGGGAGCACATCTCAAAGCACTTCAAAGGAATTACAGTAAACTCTGTATAACTCATCACTCTAAGGTTATACTCTTATAGCTACGAGATTCTCTCAAAACCACGTTGATAGTTGAGAGCAAAATGTGTTCACCTGTTTTGATGGTAAACATTGGACAACTCCTCAGACTGTAAGACAAAATGGAGAATTGCTAATTGTCCAAGCCCAGATTTGACAAATGTATTATTTTTAAAAAAACTAGCACTGTCTTATTCCTGAGGATCAGTCTCAGAGAGTATCCACAAGGATAGGTTTATCATTGAGCGTCAGAAAGATGACAGAGAGCTTGCATTTATTTACCGGTATTTGTGCTTCCTTGATGTCATCACAGCAAAATAACAGCAGATTTTTATGGTGTAAATGCATCTAAATTAACAACCCTGTTTCAAATTTGGGGGTTGGGGTGGTCAAGAGTATATCCTCCAAAAATAAACCACCTAGAGGAAATTCGTAGGAGACTTTTCATTGTTGGGTTGCTTCAAGCTGCATCCTGTTCTACTTTTAAAAATGTTTTAATTAATTTAAGCAAAATAATTGTTTTTATTTTTTGAATGGTTTAGTATATATATGATATTGTAACCAGCATTTAACAAGTATTGAACTTATTCAGTACTCTGAGACGCAACATTGTGTGAAAGGTGCTATATAAATGCAAGTTGTGATTGTTGAACTGTTCATTTTAACTATATTAAAATTCTTAGTTTTGCACAGAGATTATGTGCATAAGACCACATGCTGTTTTAATTCTAATACAATCCAGAAACATAGTTTACCTACAATTGTTGTTATACTTATACATTTGGGGATTATGTATAAAATATTCAGTGTAAAAAGAAACTTAAAGGGCTAGTAATATATTTACACTGTTAACAGTCAAATCCCTCTGTAGGGAAGACATTAATTACTCTCCTATTTCACTTTGAACACATATTAAATCAGCTTCATAAAAATATTGGTTTCATAAAACTGAAGCATGTTGAACTAGTAGATACTACTTCTATGGAAAAGCCATCTGTTTCCTCTCTTTAGACAGCTATCTTTGTAGTTTTCCTGTTGTATTCATAATTCATTCACATCTTAATTTGATTTGCAAAGCTGCATTTTACTATTTAACTGAAGTCTTTGCCAACTTTAAATATCATATTTATTTAAAATGCCTGGGCTCTCACAAGAAATGCTTATCCTTTGTGAGTAATGTTTAATGCCCTATTAGTCCCGCTGAAAGTGAAATTATACAACTGAAAACAGTAAAGCAATTAGGAACGAGAAATTTGATTTTATAGTTCCTGCTCTTGATCATATCGACCAGGGGCTGAAAAACATTCACATGCAAGCAACATATTTGTAATGTAAAGGAACCAAACATTCAGCTTCTGTGTGTACATGTAAAAGAGTTGAATCCATAAAGCAGTGCGTGTAGTTTCAATTGGAGCAAAATGAAACCTGCAAATACTACAAGCCCTCACCACATCTAAAAATGGAAATCAGAAGTTGTGGGGAGCTGCTGGTGAAATTATGGACATCTCGTAGCCCAACTATTCGGCTTTACCATTACAAAGAAGGAAAAGGATTATCCAGTGATCTGATAAAAAAATTCCTTTATGGTAATTTCTAAGGCTTTCTCCATGTTGTAGTCAGGCAACTGCAGTGGCGTATGTACTGTGCTGATGGGACGAAACATGCCACGCAACTAATGGGGTATCAAGGTACTGTACAAAATATTCCAATCCAAACTCATTGACTGAATTCAGAATTTGGCCCCCCTTCCTGGACGACTGCCAATACTAAATAACTGGAGTAGTAAGATTCCAATACACACAACAGGGCAGAAAGACATCTGGCAAGTCATCCAATTGAAACAGAACCACAAGGACTTTGCAAAAAAAAATAAAGGCTTAAACAATCTACACATCATATCTTTTTGATTATTCCCACCCACGCAAAACAATACATTGTAAAATCTACCAGTGGCTCAGAAGACTATAAGACCTGCTACCAAATCTAATATATTTCAGCGGTGCTGGGCGTGTGGTGTGTATGATGTACCATAATATTGTAACTAAATTGAAATGAAATACTGGATCTAAAAATGTAGTTCAGTTGAAAAGTTAACATTAAAAATAGACGAGCAGCACAGTGGCTTAGTATATTTTCTTTCATTGATGGCAGTTTCTCCTTCCCTCCCTAAAAAAAATTACAGCGAGTTGCTTTGAGCTAAAGAGAAACCTGTCTTGATCATTCCATAACCAAGGGTTTCTTGTTCTAAATTCACAAATGTGTCTTTTTCAGTTAATGGTTCAACAGCCACATCTGCAGCCGAGAATTGTGAGGAAAGCAGTGAATGGATTACTGCAATTGGAGGTAATATGATGTTGTGCTTCTGTACACAGCTTCTTAGAGACGAATGTAAGCCTAATGTAAGCTTGTACACTAAATGCAAACTGGTTTGGTTCATGAGCCAGGTCAGCTTCGCCACTGCTTAAGGGTTTGTGAGATGGAATGAAAATTATTCTTGCAAATTATTTTGCAAACATTTTGGGTCCTTTATAATGTTTGGGTGCAATAGTAAAATGATTTTTCTTTTCTAAGTTTTAATCATGCTTTAATAAAGACCAAATATTAGCTGTTAAATTTTACAATTCGTATGGGCCTTTGTGGAGTCAAAGCCCTCCAGGGTCTTGCTCCCCCCCCACCCACCTCTCCAACCTCCTAACCCCCTACCACCCTGTTTGCTCCCTCCGCTCAGCGGGCTCCAGCCTGCTTCACGTCCCCCGCCTCGCTCACCCCACTATTGGCGGGCAGGCCTTCCGCCACTCTGCACCCACCCTCTGGAACTCCATCCCGCAGTCCCTCCATCTCACCCCCTCCCTCACCACCTTCAAGACCCTCTTTGACCGTGCTTTTGATCTCTGTGCTTTTCCCCACTGCCCTCCACCCTCCCCCACCCCCAGCTCGGGTCCGTAACTCTTGTCTGTCCAGTGCCTTGGGGTGTCCTCCTGATGTGAAAGGCGCTATACAAATGTAATTTTGTTGTTCAAAAAAACCTTAGGGTTTCCCCATTTCTATATATGGGCTGAATACAGTACATCGATTAAATAACCCCTTGTTATTTTTATGAATAGGGGTAAATTTCAAAGGCTGCGGTGATAACATTTTCACTGAAATCCCATATAATCTGACATTGTTTTTGTAGCTAAATACGAATATTAATTCTGTCAATAATATCCGATCTTTGGTCATTTATCTGTATAATTGTGGCAGGAATATTTACAACCTCACGAGTCATTTCTACATCTTGCCATATTTTGTTATACCACAGAGGACGCCTTCTCACTTTGGCGTGGGTTGAAAGAAGCTGGTTTGATGGATGAAATCGTACAGGAGCTTCAACAAGAGTTGCAAAATACCTTGAAAGTTCTTCACCAGAGACTCCAGCAGCCTCCTCTTCAAGTCAGCGGTGAGCACGACATATCCATCCTTTTAAACCTTTTCATTTGAAAACCCGAGGAGCGTGGAAATCGCTCTGCATTTCTGAGATTATTTTTGGTCAGCCATATTTTTCCATGACACATGGAATCCCATCAACACACTTATGGGTATCCAAACCAGACTTAAGCATGCTACCGACATGTGTAAATTTTCCCTGTGTCTGGAATTAAATATCCACATTCTCCCTGGAAAGGTACACCCTGCTTACTCTATTCATGTGTGTTCATTTTTGAGTGACATTGTGAGTTAATGCCAAATTGGAATCCTTTGTTTGTATTGACTACTCACCAATGTTTGTTTTGTGCTCACCGTTGATGCCATCGATTATGTTTAGTAAGATCTAAGATGTCCTATTATTCGCTGATGCTAAACTCTTAAAAAAAAAAAAATCTGGACACATTTTTCTAACCTGTTTTTATTTTTTCAGATGTGGTCATTCTGAACAATATTGTACAAAATTTTGGTCTATTGGACCTTGTTAAAAAGGTTTTGACGGGTCATAAAAGTCAAATGGATCGTTCTCGAGAGCAGTACACACGAGATTTAGCAGGTTAGTACCGCTGCTGCTAATGTAAAACATTTTATTATATTTCACTCTAAACTCAGAGAATCTGAATTCACTTTTGTTATTTGAAAGGAATGTAGAATTGTGCTCTACCAATAACAACAACTTGCATTTATATAGCGCCTCTCACCCCGGGCAGCATCCCAGAGCACTCAGCTCCAGCTCTAACCAAAGTTTGACGTTACGTGATACAAACGTTAGTTAGTGCAAAGTAAATTGTAATGCAGTCAATTTTAGAATGTCTTAGTGTGTTTTATTTCAAATGCAAATATCCGTTTCAAACAGCAAAAAAGCTCGAGGCCCATCTCTTATGCGTTTTGGGTTATGTTTCTTTGTAGCTTTGGAACAACAATGCGATGAGCATCGGAAACGAGCCAAAGAGTTAAAGCACAAATCCCAGCATCTGAACAACGTCCTCATGAACCTGACGCCGATCGCTGCGGCACCTCCTTCCAAACGGCCTCGTCTGACGAGAGCGACGTCGGGACCAGCCACAGTGGCCGCTCACATGGTCACATCGTCACAACCAACCCAGATCACCCTGACCTCTGGAGTACCCGTCTCTCAACTTACCACGATACCTATAGGGAAACTGACAACAGTATCTGCCATTCAAGCCTCCGCATTAGGTAAAGGTTCACACACAACTACATTTACGACTGCAGGCTCACCGTTGATTGGAGGGTACAATGTTCTGGCATCGGCAAGTTCTGGGATCCCAAATACAGTTGAAATGCACCCAGATGCATCCAACCTGGCAGTGCTTAGCAGAGCTGCCATCCAGGATGGTAACACACTGGTGAAAGTAGTCAGCCCAATCCAGCTATATGCTGCAGTTCCTGGGCTCAGCGCTGCTCTCCAAAATGCTACGCAGATGGCATCTCTCGGAAGCACAATTGTGGCTGTGCCATCTAACGTCATGGAAACCACCACATCAGGTGAAGGACATGCCACGATCCAGGTGACATCAGTATGCGAAGAGCATGAACAGAAACCATAGCCTTGAAATATAATGCTTCACGATCTGGTTAGAAATGCCACTGAATGTACCTCGAATAAGAATAGTATGATCACAATGTCAGTCATACTAAGGTTGATTTTTTTTAAAAAAACCTAAACAGTGCCGCCAAGTGGTAGCAATTGGTTACAAAATGGAAACGGGAATCATGTCTCCGCTCTTTTTCAGACTTTGTCTTAATGACATTTATCAGACGTGCTTGGTAGAATTGTTTATAATGCATTTTACAAAGCTTCTTTGCACTGTACTTTGTGTGCTTTATTATACCTAATTACACTCAAACCTGTTATCGTCTCGTGGTTGCTTTAAAAGAGATCTGTAATTGACTGTATTATGGCAGTTTTCCTTTACAATAGGTGCTCTCACTGTTTTCTAACAATTATTTGACTGTATTGTGCTGTTTTGGTAATCACATGATTAATATTGGAGAATTTGTAAATATCAGGCTGTTGTAATTTAGTGACAGCATCAAGAAACCAACTTCTGTTGTACATTTGTTAATGTATTTAGGCTGAAAAAAGCGCAGAGATTTAGGCTTTAGTTATGTATGAAAAGCAAACCAGGCAAATCCAGACAAATGGGTACTATGAGTAAACTCGATTTTTAATAAACAGTTTTAAATACTATGTGCAAGAGAATTGTTGTGTTTTCCATTTTGTGGCAACCACAACACGAGGTACCTTTTTTATACGACAGTGAAAATGTGGCTATATAAAATGTGCAGGCCGTAAAAATAACTGATGCAACAATGTTTTTCTTTGCAAAACTGATTCCATGGGAAGATAAGAAATTTCCGAGGTGTTTTTTTACACTCAAAATGTTTGTTACGAAAATAATTGATAGACTTACAAACAAACGTTGTGCAAACAAGTGGAACAGAAGTTTCTTAAGTTTCTATTTTTTTTCTCCTTTTTACCTTGAAGCGTGCGACTGTCTGCATCTTAGGTTTGAAGGTAGACTGTGCCTAAATTCTCCAGTAAAGTTCACCAAAAATTATTTGTGGATATTTGATCACAATTGAAAGCCATGATTGTGTGTTAAAGTTCTAAACAAAAGTTATTTGTGTTGCATTACACTTGATCGCGTTGGTATGCATATGTTATAACTTGGGTTATATTTAAAATATTCTACAGGCCTAATGTCATGACCCTTAACTTTAAGTTAATTGTACTTTTTGAACACCCAAATTCAAGAGTTTTTTTCCTGATCTGATTTCCTTCATCACTGAAAATAAAGAAGCTTTCAGTTAAGTAATTTAACTACCGTACTGAGAAATAGCAACAACTTGCATTTATTTAGCGCCCTTCACGCCATACGGCGTCTCGGAGCGCATGAAATACAATAGTTTGAGTGAGGAAGGAGGCTATCTGGACCTTTGATTTGAAGGTAAACTAATAAATTCCCTAGTACAATGTGTAAAGGAGACTTTATGCATATTTGATCACGATTGAGAGTTAAACTTTTTTTTGTCTTATTCAAGTCTTCCCAGGGAATGCACCAAGATGGTGAGTGAATGGCCTGCCATCAGGACACCAGTGATATTGCTGATCAGGCTGTTGCAAACGGGGTGGGGGGGGGGGTGGGGGTGGGTAGGTGAGACGAAATGGGGCAACTCAGCCTCATGGATTCTCTCAACCCTCCCCTGTGGGGAAGTGCCTGATCTGCACTCAGCACTCACCATCTTGGTGTTTCTGGCATACTCTGTCAACCATCTTTGAGTTTACTGGTACCTTTGTAGATTACTTTGCGTATCAGAGAAGTTGAAAGTTAATTTCCAGTCTATTGTCTAGGCCAATAAGCAGGAAATACTCCATTAGAAGTCTGATAGAGCTGATTCTACACCCGCGTGTGAGATGGGCCTTGACCTGGTTACATCAGAATACTGTATTTTAAGTCTGGAAACGAGTGATGGGTTGATGTGATGGTCATGGTTTAGAAACCTCACCTGAACTTTGGAATCGGGTTACAGGCTTTCTTTCGTCCATTCCCTGTAGCTATTAGTTAATATATTTTTATATATACGAAGAATATGGGTAAATTTCTAATCCTAGTTAAAGTATAACATTTCTCGTGTGCTTTATCAGGATTCAATTGCACTGCATTTTTACCATTTTGTGAGAGTACCTTTGTTTGTTACTATTTTTCAGGAGTGTTCCAGTTTCTCCTTGCAGTGCCAAGTGACATTCATTAGAGGATATTGAGTTTCTTGATGATGCCATTTATTGCAAGTATACGAGAAAAGACAAAGCAATAGATTACAGTGAAATGCCAGGCATACTTATATTCACAGTATTCTTTCGGCATTTATTTATTGTCTGCTTAGAATATTTCCACTTTTTAAATTGATCACTTTTAAGATGGGATTTAAAAAAAAAAAACACCTAAGACACAGGGCGCAATAAATGTTTTCTTTTGATTATACACTTACAAAAGATGCGGGAAAGGGACACTGCAAGCGAGTGGCAAATTCCATCCAAAGGACAGCATTCTGCAAGGCAATCAAAGGGACGATCGCAGGCACCGCAGCATTGGTTCATTCTGTAGATGTTAGAAAATTCCCATGTAAATGGGAGTGGAAATGGAGTTAAATGTTACTGAATGATATAAATGTAGCAAATGTGAACACACTAGAACTGGATAAATATGTGAAATCACAACGGCATTGGAAGTGTTTCAGATGAAATGTATTGGGAGAGAAAAGCTTTTAAGGTTTTGTAAATAAAAAAAAATCTATAACATTGGGGCTTTTTGCTAAACAACATTGCATTAACAGTGTTTGTTCTATATTTGTGCCTGCCGGTTGATTATTTTTGTGCAGTTGGTGTATTGTAGCATTTTGTCTCTGGCAAAATGCCATTTTTCCCATTTTGTAAAAAAAAGAAACTTACTGGCAAAACATTGGGCATCTTGAAGTGTTGAAATAATAAAAAGTTTAGGCCTTGCTTTGAAAGAAACGATGCCTTTTTTAAAAGAGTGGTTGGGCAAGGGAAGCTGCTTGATATTGATACTTACCTACTCTAAATGTTCCATATACACATCTGTCATTAACAATTAAAATTCCATTAAATACCTATTTTGGTTAATTTTCTTCCCACATGAGGGGACTAATTCTTGTTGGAGTTTGATTCTGTTTGCCTAGCAGTAAGTAGGAACCCGGTTGTTAGTCGATCGGTGGATCGTTTTTCTAGGGGTAATAATTCCTTATATAAAAAAAAATTGGTCACTCAATCCACGACTGTTTGTGGGACGCTGCTGTGCAAAATTGGCTGCCGCGTTTCACCCACAACATACAGTCAATTCACTTTAACAGTACATTCTGTCAAGAACTTTGAGACCTCTAGAAGACGTGATCAAATGCAAGAATTACTATGAGTGCTCGTATCCCACTGGTATTTTGCTTATATGGGCATTCTTAATGTGATACCTTGCAACAACAACCACCACCATCACTTGCATTTGTACAGCACTCTTCACGTGGGGCAGCATCTTGGAGCGCTTAACCTTAGACGAGAGACCGTGATTAACTGCAGGCTATTTCAGGATGGCAGGTATCGGAGGCAAGCCCGATCCTTGACTCACTCAACATCCACACACACTCTCAGCAATGGGTCCATCGGACTGCTATCAGGAGCGATCAGACTTGCTAATTTAATCTTCAACTTCATAGTCGATTTTCTGTAGTTCTTGAAAGAATTTACAGAAAAGAACTTAATTTCAAAATGAAGGCTGTCTTTTTTTAAGAATTTACCAAATTGTGGGAGCTCTACATAAATAAGAATAAATCTAGATCCTGGTGGAATTTCTCTCCGAAATGAGTTTTTCTGTTAAAAAGTATGCCAGAGCTTGCCTTCATTTTGCACATGTGCAAATTTCCCTTGTTTTTGAAGTGTATCCACGAGACACACTAAAAGTGCCAGCAATTTACCGCAAAAAAAACCCCCCAATAAGTATTGAAAACGACTATTCAGCCCAAGATTGTTCATTTATTGACGAGGTGTGGAAAGTAGGCTTTTATCCATACTGCTGATCTCAGTGAATATTACATTTTGTGAGTTTTTAAAAAAAAGCTCACCCTCCAACGGTATTCTTTCGTACAAGTACAAGTTTGTACAAGCAAAAGGGGATTTTGTTTGGTCAGCCGGGCGGGCGTCTGACCGAAGCGGAAATCCATCACCGCGTTTAAAAGAGTATCCAAACTAAACTAAAAAAGGAAACCGATCGTCGTGATGAGCTCGGGCTGGATGCGTTCAGCCACGCTTTTTTTAAATAAGCGCTTTGTTCCGCATCGAGATGGCGTAATTCACCGTCAATTAGCCTGTGGAGTCCTGTAGCTCAGTGGTTAGAGCACTCGCTTCGCAAGTGAGAGACCTGAGTTCAATTCCAGGCAGAGGGCGAAACCTTGGGCAAGTTTCCTTACTCCACACAGAGCCTAATAATAATCCCTCCAAAAAACCCAAAACAATAATAAATTGGTAATTTTCAATCCACGACTGTTTGTGGGACATTGCTGTGCGCAATTGGCTGCCGCGTTCGCCCACAAAAAAAATAATAGTCAATTCACTTTACAGTGTGTTCTGTGAGGACGTCCTCCCGGCGTGAAAAGCGCTGTATCAAACGCAAGGATTATTATTCTTATTATCCACCCAAGTGCGCAGTCAAGTCAAGTCAAGTCAATGCACGGCTGTTAACTTGCTCTGAGGTCAAACGCAACCCTGCATCCAAAGCGAACCAGCCCGTGGGTCTTGTCTTGTGTGGTTTGTCTGGCTCACATGGGTCTTTTGAGGCTGTGATTCTTTTTTTTGTGTGTGTGTGTGTGTGTGTGTGTGTTGCCTTGTGTTTGGGTGTGACGATGAGGTAATTTCCGAGAAAAATTTTTTTTTTTTTTTTAACAATCCAGAATGAGATGAAGGGTTAGTCACAAACTGGGTATGTGAAACTGAAACTGACACACACAGAGCTTTGGAGGTGAGCTGTGACCCTCTGTGTCTCTCTCCCCCCCAGTGTGCAGCAGGGAGACGAATGCACAGCACAAGACTCAGCTGAACGTATTCACAGGGAATAAAACCTACATTTCTTCACCCCCCNACCCACCAAAAAAAAAGCAACCCACAAAAAAAAACACACACACCAGAGTCTCTCCTCCTGGGTCTGATCTTCGATGTGCATTTATTTTGAATCGAAAAAAAATCAGGTAAGAGGCCAGATCGTGTCATTTGCTTCTTAAATATTGCTGTCCTGCCTTGTTTTGCTGTTACTAACAAAAAAAATATTATTTATATAACCACCAACATCGTACAGGAAGTTTGCTGAGCCATTGTGCCACCCAGACATGTCAAGTCCTTTTTTTTTTGCATCTCTTTTTTTTTTGTGTCTCTCTCCTCTCTCTGCACTGCACGTTCGAGCTTTCATTTCATTTCATTGCATTGCATTTTTTTTAACTGTAATAAATATTTCTCCTTTTTTTTTTGGCATTTTTTTTAAAAAAAAAGAAGAGGTATTTTATGTTTTATCTTAAAACGTCCTTTTCTTTCTTTGGAAAGGAGCTGATGGGCACAGACTGAATAAACTGTGGGTTTAGGAAGCGATTGGAAATGGACGCATCAGCTGTGCCAGATTTCTCTGCTGGAAGTTTAAAGGGACATGAGCAAAAATGCAAGTTAAAACAGATCTTTTTTTTGTGTGTGTGTGTGTGTGTTTTTTTCGAACTCCTTTTTCTTTGCAAGCCCCCCAGAAACCCTGTGGGAAATACAGGGTGACCCCCCCCCACACACACAAAAAAAGTCCTGATACCATTACAATCGTTTAATAAGTCTTAAAAGAAATTAATAGCAAATTACATATGCTATCATGCTATTAATAGCATAGTGATCAGGACTCTTTGGTCACTCTGGATGAACCCCTAGGACTCTACCCTGTGGGAGGGGTGCGATATAAATGCAAGTTGTTGTTTGTTGTTGCTGTGAATTTGATTCACTAAAGGCAACAAAGGCGAGTAATTAACATCTGACCAAATATCTGATCAGATCGATCAGATGTATAACAACATTGAAGCATTGTTGCTGTGAATGACTAAATGTTTACCTGGAAAGGATGCCAGGGGAAGAGAGATCTCTGCGTGATGATAATAGTAATAATAATAATAATAATAATCCTCGCATTTGATATAGCGCCTTATCGGGGCGGTGAGATGTCTCAAAACGCTTCGCAGAATATATTGTAAAGCGGATTTTGTGGGCAAAACGTGCGATTGTAGATTTGCCGATTTGGACGGTGGAATGTGCGTTAATATGTGAGTTGTTCTCCATAATAGTTGTGGAATTTACAAACCTTGGTATGAGAGCATAAACTTAGACCACCGGGCTCAGAACAGCAGGAAACTGACTTCAAAGTTGAACCTGTATTCGATAATTTGCCGAATTCTGGGCACTGTGAAATGCTGCATAAAATAGAGTAAATCTAGACCCAGGTGGGAATTTTTATCCAATAACAACAGCAAAAAAAATAAGCATAACCAGATAGTGCGTGTGGACTGACAAATAAGAAAACAGACTCCACAGTGTGTTAAGTAACAGTAGCACTTCAGGGTAAACACAAGAGAGCAGCTTCAGTGACGTGTATTGTATTAACAACAGACCTTACTGCCCTAGAGCACAGTCCAAAGGTTATCCCAAACATACAGTATGTAGAAATGCCTCATTTAAAAAATAAATCGCACCTCACCTTACCCGGTTGTCTACCTGACGCTGCCTTTGCTCAGTTGGCACGGGTCTGCTTCACAATCGGCAGCTGTGCTTTCAACTGCTAATGCCCCAAATCTCTAGAACTCCTCGCCTCAATCCCACCATCTTTCCCCTGCCCTGTCTATCTGTAAATCACGAATAGACTTTCTTCTTCGGTCGTGCTTTCGGTCACCTTTCCTTCCCCCCTACTTTCCAGTTTGGCCTCAAACCACAGAGCTGTTAAGCGCCCCTTGGTGAGGTCCGTGGCACTGTATAAATCCAAGTCGTTGTTGAATCAGTTTCCTTGTTTGGTTCATTTTTTCTGATGGCGAGGAGGGTGGGGGAAGGGAAGTGAGAGAGAGAGATAAACAGAGAGAGTGATATCGTGGCAAATTTTGACAGGCTGCTGATTCCACCCTGTGCAATGTGATAAGATCAGCAGTAATGATACTTGTTCACTACTTTCCGTGCAGGAAACTTCATAACTTCCGCAATTTGAAAACTTCTCTTTCCACTTGAGGGGTTTTGACGTAAAATAGTGTGTCACAGGTCCAATAGCAAGCAGTCGTTTAATCCACTGTTTTGTAGAGTTTACAGATGAGTTTGCATATTGCCTAATCAAGGAGAAAATATCCTGTCACATTTGCATTCTTTCTTTGAATAAGGTCACATTGATGTTGTTCTTCCTTGTGTATGGATAGATTTCAAGTTCCTCTTCCTGGTTGTCATCGGTCTATACCCCTGCTCCCATCTTATCTACGCAGCTATCTCCAACCAGGCAACCTCCCCTTCCCACCCCCACCACACACCTTCTGATCCCCACTCTGTTTGCTGCACCATTAGAGGCTGATTCTTCAACCATCCTGATCTCTGGAAATCTGATCTCTTCTTGAAATAGTGGCAGGTGAACTAATGGGGTAAACAAAATGCAGTTTTACTATTCGAGTACATAGGTCTGAAATGCCGCTTAGTCTCAGCCTGTAAGATTATTTTATCTTAAAGTTTAAGATTGTGGGCAACTGTGTAAAATTCTTAAAGTCACTCGTAACTTTATTGCAGTTCTTAAAAAGAACCAGCTTCCAAATTAAGACTCAATTAAAGAATTTTCTGCAATTCTGTGCAGTCTTATATTTTAAGACAAAATAGTCGTGTTATGCTAATACTGCGTGGAATTTCAAGCTTTATATTGTTTACACAACTATTTAATGTCATTTCTTTATCCACACAAATATTTTGTTTTGGTTTCTTCGTTGCTATGGAATTAAATAATTTCTTTTGTAGTTATTCAGGCCTTGAACTGATATCAATTACAGCTCTAACTCCATTACCTTTGATCTTTAGTCAGCCTGGCGATTGAACACCAGTATAAACACAAGCACAAGTTAGTTGGACTGAATGGTCTGTTTCCATAATGTTCTCCTTAACTTTATGTAAGTAGGCTGCATAATTTAATGTAATCACCTATATTACATGTTGACAGCCAGTTGTTAGAAAAAACTAATATTAGTTCCTGGAAGTGGTTGCTAATTCAGCACAAACCAATATAACAGGAAATGATGCAAAAGCAGTAGTTGCATTAAATATTCTGGTGATCAGATCTTTCGAAATAACAACTGCTGTAACATCGTCGACACAAAGGTGAGTCCGCTTAGAAATATGTGATGCAGCAAAAGAAATGATTTGTCAAGTTGGTACTTGAAATGACCTGCAACTTTACCGCAAAAGAACCAGAACGTTTGCCTCTTAAGAATTTCGGCTGAATCAAAGCACCGTAATATCTTGATTATTTGCCCTATAGAAGTGTCCACGTTATCGCAAATTAGGAAGCTGTGTAATTGAGACGATTCTTTAGATCATCGGTTTAGGTGTTTTATGTGCTTTACCGTGTAATTTCTTATTAATACACTTTGTTCCTATAATCCATTGAGGATTTGTTGTTTCATTTTAAAAAAAAGTTAGCATTCCTGTAGCTGGAGATTGGATTATGTTTTTTTGTTCTTGTTGAATATCCATGTTTTGAAATCAAGTTTGTACTGAGTCTGCCAGTCAATGTCAAATCACTTTAGTGAATTATGTACTGTCCGACCAACACAACCTTTGTACTGTGGCATAACCTCCAATCAACTGGAGGGTTCTGCAAACATTTCCATATTAGAGAACCGCAAGTAATACTTTTTTTTTACAGTATATACAATGAAATTAACTTCATGACCAACATTGTCTGTGAGCAGGAACTTTCTGACTGGGTTATGCAGTTGAATCATAACTTGCAAGTCAAACTTGACATGTCGTCAGACTGACATTTTCGTCCGCTTAATTTTCTATCTACTTTAGAGAAACATTAACTTCCTGTGTAGGGTTACCCGCGCAACACATCAGGGTATGATTGAGATCATAGGCACAGCATTTCCAGAACTCTGGGAGTCTTGCTGTATAACTGGCAACTTGCTAAAGATCTCATAGCGTTATAGTACTCAAAAAAGAGCAAGGGTTTTTCTGGTTTCCTGGCCAATGCTCCTCCCTTGTCTCAAATCACTTAACAATCTCATCCTCCTGATTAATAGACCATTAACGTCTACTTGAACTTGACCTTGCTTTAACGTCTCCGCTAAATCATCCACACAAAAAAGCACTCCCTGCACTTTACAGTGGAACCCGAGGTGTACTTTTGGGATGTCCTTCTGACGTGAAGGGCGTTATACAAAATGAAAGGATTAGTATTAAATGACGCCACTTCAAACCATGCAAGCCCTTCCTTATCATAGCGCTGCAGGCACCGAGACCTTGATTTAACTATGGTAATTTCCCAATGGCTGGTTTCATAATCATTTAATTCAAGCAAACAGAGGGGAACGGGCTGAGCAGGAAACTGAGAGAACTGAGAAAATGTTTCCATAAACAATCTCTTCAAATGTTGCAAAAACAGCCTGTATGGAGAAGTGGTTCTAAAATGTAAGTGACAGAAGAGATTTTTTTTTAATAAAAGTAAAAGACAATGCATTGGCTGCATTTGCATTTATATTAAAACAGCAAAAAAATGTGACAATGCAGTATTTTAGACCCCATTGCTCTATATGCCAATTATTTTTGAAAACTAACTGAAAACAAGCGGGGTCAATATAATCATTTGTTTATAGCCATTTAATAAAAGTAAGAATTGATTCTTAAAAAAATAGCCTGTTATCAGTTTGTGTAACTATTTGTCTGTAAACAAAACATTCTCTGGTAGCCACATTGGCTCAGCTGGTAAAGTTATTGCTGCTTGTGACATTATGACTCAGTAATAACTTAAGCACTGCTTACTCACTTACAACAACAGCTTGTATTTATATAGTACCCGTCGCATGAGGCAGTCTCGGAGTGCTTACATCCATGTAGTTTTACTGCTTGCAGCAGTAGAACTTTCTTTCAAGCTCAGTCTACTCAAAGTTAACAATATTTTTTCATCTTGGAATATACTTGTTGATCTAGTCACCTCTGTGAGTCTCCCTGAATGAAGAATGTCAGAATTATAGCAATAAGTGGTTAGACGAGTTCTTGTAGTGTTCTGGTAGCAACAACAACAAGATTACGTTTGTATAGCGCCTTTCACGTCGGGAGGATGTCCCAAGGCGCTGAAACTATCAACTAGCACATGATGGTTTTGGGTGGAAGTGGGTATATTGTTAGACTGCTTATTCCAGATGGAATACAAAAAGATTCTCTCACCTTCTGGCATGGATTTGTCATGTAACGCCTAGTTTGTTATTCTTAAGTGGCACGAAAGATCGCAGGTGCTCTGGTCAGGCCATCTAGAGTACTGCAAACAATTCTGGTCTCCATGGCTTAAAAGAGCGACTCAGACCCCCAGAGACAATGAAGAAGAGAGCAATGAGGATGATCCCCAGTGTTAGAGGAATGAGTTGTGAGCAACAATTAGACACGCTGGAACTCTTCAGTCTTAAAAGCAGATGCCTCATAGAGGTGGATTAAATTTTAAATGGTATTGAGGAAGTAAACCTCGAACAATACAGCGGATAAAGTGGGCAGTGACTCAGGTTTGTAAAGTGCAGTTTCAGGGCTGACACTATGGAGTGTATTTATTTACTCAGACGATAATTCATGACTGGAACAGGTTGCTAGGCATGGTGTGTAACCGGAATGGTGGATTCCTTTTTTTAAAAAGAAAACAGCATAATTCTGTGACGGAAAAATTGTAGAGTGAAAATTCTGGAAGGATGAGATGGGCCCACAGGGCTTTCTTCATCTAAACCTCGCGTGCTATTAGACAAACTCAGCCTGTTGTGTTGAAAAGCTGCTTTTCCTGTTGCTGATGCTGTGTTTATTTCGCACATTTCACAGCTAAAACACGCAGCCCAAAGAAAGGGCAAAGAAATATGAATCACCCTGGAGGCCGGCTTATGACACTACCTCTTAGGAGCAAAGCAGCTTTGCTTCTGGCAGTAAACACAGCATTAGAGAGGAAACAGCAGGGGTGGGGGGGAGGGGGGGGTGAATATGAGTCAGAGGAAAGATCAAGAAAGGTGCTAAATAAGAAGCTAAAGAGAAAAGCAATTCATTGTGGTTTGCAAGTTCATTCATCAAATGGCACATCGATTATATCACCTTTAATCTAGGAAAGAGTGGTAATCAAGACGAGCATTCAATCTAAAACGTGTTAAAAAATTCAATGTGTTCTTTTAGAATTCATTGTTGATGGCTCACCATCTCTCCAAAACCAGTTAGAAAATGCACAAAATCTAAAAGTTCACTCCACAAAGGAAAACATAAAGTCGTCTGACTCTTACAAAAAAAAGCAGAGAGAAAGATTTACATGCAGTCAACCGAGCAAATAAGAGATCCCCTATTCGTTTCAAATGCCGATTGCTCCATAAGCAGGAAGAAAGGCCTGGCTTGAAGAGACCCCTCTTTGTTGAGTAATTTATTTATCCTTCTTTCCCAACACATCAGCCCATGCAGTCTCACTGATTTACATTTGTCGACATTAAGCAAGCACGCCTTGACTCCCCTCCCGATCTATTCTCTTCCTTCTGTATTATATTTCCTTTTTATGAGCAACACGCCCAGTCTGTGGTGGTAAGCAAACGTGATAGGTTTTCTTCTTGTTCCCTTTTCCAAATCATTACTGTACAGTGCAAAAAGCAGAGGCATTGTACCTTCAGAAATATGCATGTGTAACTAATTCCAAAATAGTATTTTCTCCGTGTGTGAGTATTATAATAATAAATGTGTCTGTGTTCTGTATTGTTTACAGGAGCTGTGAAATGCCTCCATTATAACTCAGGAACGGCAGCACGGTTGCTGGGAACAAGCCAATGGAAACCAAACATTAGAGAAGTCTTTCGTTCACTGAGTCATCCTATCTCAGAATGAAGAAACTGGAGGAACTGTGTAAGATGGTGGACCTGCGGCTCATTTGCCCGCAGTGCTCCAAGAAGTCAAATGAGAGCACTTTTATTCTTAAAGACGTGAAACACAGCTGTCAACACCACCTATTGGTTGCCAGGAAGCAACTGAAGAGAAATGGCAGCTGGAGATTAATTCGGCGACGACCAGAATTAGTGAACCCCTCACATTACGACGTGTGTAGGTATTACCTGGAAGGCTTCGGCTGCAGGAGGCACAAGAACCGTTGCACCTTTGCCTGGAGTGAAGAAGAAGCCTTCGTCTGGACCTATGCAAGAAACCATAACATCCAACAAAATGACCTTAAGTCCGCGGTGGCCAAAGCAACACGTGGCGAGAGATCATTTTCGAGTAAAACCATTGAGAAACAGCAGAGTGCAGAAGAAGGAATCGTCAACGAATTCGAGGGGCAATTTGTGGAGTTGTGTGCAATTTGTTTTTACAGTGTACCTCAGCAGATCGCCTTCAAGAGCGTCAGTGGATTTTGTGCTTCCTCGCACAAACATGGCTGGAGTCCATTGTTGGTGCATATCCTCACAGATGGCAACGGCATGAAACAGTGCAATGAAATTAGACCAGCTAAACCTTCGGTTCACAGGTACTACTGCAAATATGTACTGAAGGGGGTGTTATGCCGCCATGGCTACAATCGCTGCAATTTTGCCCACAGTGCTGTTGAACTGGCAGTATGGGAAGCAGAGAAGTTTAATAGTTTGAATCGTTCCGTTATGTTAGAGGTTTCCCAGCAGCGAAGCCGGAGTGTTCAACCAGAAGCGAAGGTGGTAGCAGAAAGCGGTGTTCAGTTCTATTGCAGGATCTGCCTGGTAACCTTCTTTTCCCAAGATGGGTTTCAAAATCATTGTTCATCAGTGGAACACGCTCAGATGATCTTGGAGGACAGTACAGTTGAGTGGAAGCATCGGAAGCCACCTCTTCAAGCCAAAAAATACGAGCTATGTTCAAGGTAAATATCATTCACGAGCTTGTCAAGATTCAGTGACATAGAGGATGAGTGGACAAGGGACCGTAGTAATGATTATGCAGCGTAAATTATGCAGGGTAAGAAGTCGTACAATTTTTCCTCAATTTGTAAGGATTGTACTGGTAATGTGTTTCTGTACCAAACTCAGCTAGAAACCTAGTCAGTGTGAATCGATTGTTCTTAACTCTTAATCAGTTTTCCATGGATGTTTATTCTGGAATTTTGCCCATGAACCCTGTTTACATTTATCCAGCTTAGAGAGAAAATCAGGAGATTCCTGTGATAGACATTTCCACGACTGACACCCATGAAGTGGAGTGCTTCATTTCCTGAGGCAAGCCATCAACTGGGCTATCTGAGTATCAATGACACACACCTCAACTCTTCAGCTTTCTGTAGGACTCTCCTCAGCACTGTGCCCTGAACACTATGATAAGTAAATGATCTGTTCTCAGACCTCCGCTGAAAGCTCTTTGAAACAAACCCTATGTAGGTGCGATCAGTGCAGCCTGACCAGCCTCCCTTTCCCTTCCTGTGGTGGAAAGGCAACTTTCGTCTAGTCATTGCCTCCTCCTGCTTGTTAGCTGCCCCAAATGCATGTGTACGGCTGTGCACCTTGTTATTGCGGCACTCACTCCAGCATTACGTAGACTCGGAGACAAATTAACGCAGTGAAATTCCACAGAATGAGAAATGATGAATAAAATCCCAAATAAGTTGTCAAACAATACAGGGTTAGGATTTGATGTGTTATTCCAGGTTTGATTGAATATTTTAATGGTTTATTTTAAAGGAGAGATACCTGTGAATTTGGTGACAACTGTGTATCCGCGCATTCTCACGATGAGCTTGAAGAGTGGATAATGCGATTCAAGGCTACCCGGAAGCGGAGGAGAGCAGCAAAGCAACAAGGTCTGATATCCTATCAGGACAAATTGCTGGAGGACTACAAGAACTGCAGGAATGAAGTATTGATTGTAAGCTATTTTAATTGGCTAAGACGTTGTCTTAAATCCCCGTTGAATTTATTGTCTTTCTTCCTCCAAAATATGGGATTTGTGGTGGGATTTAGAATGAGTTGGTTCCTTAACACACCAATGTTGTGGATTGAGAATAATTGCAATTGCCATGTGATAGAACATAATCCTATTCTGATCCACTATTCTTTCCGTGCACTTTCCATTAAAAACTTACCAGATAGTGATTAGGAGCAGGAATTCACCCAATCCCCATCCATTGATGATGAGACTGACTGAGTTGTTTGAATCAATTGATTTACCACCTGGGCCGTACAGAGAGTCTCTGCTTCCCGTTTCCGAGATAAACAAATTCTCATTTACAGATGTTTTAACTGTTGATTCCTTTTCAGATTTCAGAGCAGATTGATGGAGTAGCTATGTCATGTGACAATGATTTAAGAATCCTTCATCTCAGTAGAAGATCTAAGTTAAAGTGGAACTTCCAGATACAATCACAGGTACGCATTTCTTTATTCAAGAAATGTTTTTTTTACAACAACTTACACGTCTCGCAACACTTTACAGGGACCTGGACGGGCGGAGGGGAGGGGAAGGTGGCAGAAGGCGCATTCGAAGAGGGAGGATTTGAGCTGGGACTCAAAGACAGAAAGAGGGACAAGACAGAATGGTAAACGGAGGGAGGGAGTTCCAACATTCCAGGTGTAAGCACTGAAGGCTCAGCCACCAAGAGTGGCACGAAGAGGGCAGAGGACACACACCTGAGTGAGTGGAGGAGGTGAGTGGAAGAGTAGGGTAAGGAGGAGATCAGACAGATAAATAGGTGCCAGGGAGTGGTTGGATTTATAGGTAAATGTTTAGATTTATAGGATTTTTAAGCCTAGGATAGATGATTTATAGGCTCTTAAGACTAGGATTGTAACACAAACCGGTTTGATTGTATATTCCCAGATTTATATTACAGCTAGACTATGAGTATATAATTTGTACTTTGTAGGACATTCAATGTTATATCCTTTCACTAGTATTGTGTGATAAATGATTGAATGCCCTGGTACATGTGTGGAATAACAATTGGTGCAATGCTGAATGATCGTATTCAGTTGGTTTGCAATGATGCTTTACAATTCAGTCAGACAGCCATCTGTCAGATATTTATTTATTCATGCCATGATACTATATTGATTCAGCTATTGTCTGAACGATTCAAAACTAATTGAGCGCAAATGGAGTATACTGCAATGAAGCAATCGTATTGTCATCCTGCTTGATTGCGGGCAACATAAAGCTGCAGTTACCCATTTCTTTAAACTGGCATTTGAATGAACTCAGACGGAACATGGGTTCTGCAAAGCATTGCACTTAAATGGACACTGGAGTCTTATGCTTAAATGTCGCTTTCTTTCTCGCTATTGTTGGTGAGAGGCAAGGCTTCAGGACACCAGAGTGTGAGTTGGGATATGGCAGGAGTTTAACCAACATAAACAGCATAACTTGCCATTGAGAGCATTGTCTTACATGCTTCCCCCTTCTTATACAGTTAGGGCTTTGGCTTGCAAAGTTAATAGAGTGTTATTCATGACCACAGTGAACTTGTTTAAATTTATTGGATCTACTTCACTGAGCACTTAGAAGAAATATTACAGATGGTCTTCAAGCGCTCCAAGACTCTACACTGCGTGAAGGGTGCTATATAAATGCAAGTTGTTGGTAAAGTGAGGGAACATATGCCAAATCAGTCTGAGCTACATTAACTAAGAGCACAGAGCTAAAAGGATGTTAAGCCTCCCGTCCAGTCCCTCTGTCCATTTAAGGCTAGTCACTAATTGTGTTTAATGTAAATGACATTGTTCTATTGAGCAGCAGCTGTAACGTTTTCTGTTCATTCTCTTCAGGTTATCATACAAGTACAATCACCTTTGGAGGGTTAAATCATTTTAGAAACTCAGTCGGGAGATGTGGATCTACATGGATTTTGTATACCTTCTTATGAATGTTTTAAATTCTAAGATACAGTGCTTATCTTGCATCCAATTGAACAACTGTGTGAAACTGCCTTTATTGTTGATAGCGTGATATTCAAGTGAAACTGTTTTGTGCACAGAAACCATTGAAGTGCGTTGCATTGCTGAAGAGAGAGCCTGGGGCGATGTTTTGCCTGGAAGGAGAAGGCTTACCAAAGAATTGTACTTGTGCTGAAGGCACGCATTTCCTGACCGGGGAAACCTCCTATCATGTCGGCCTCTCATTTAAAGCCACAAACTTCGGAATCTACGACCAGTGGGTAGTGTTCGATTTTGGTAGAAGGCCTGTGCTCGTCAGGAAGATTTACATCAGCATAGAGAACATTACCCAAACGCTTCAAAATCCCTGCAGTGAATTCCGGGTCGCCAATCTGGACAAGTGGCACAGCGGCAATCGAAGAATAGTGCCTTGCATGGAGAAATCCGAATATGAGCTCCTGGTGCTACAGAAGTACAAACCGCCTTCGGTGTCACTCGAGTACAAAGTTAAAGATGTGGCAAAGATCCCCATGACCTGCATGAATTACAGGGAACGAATGCACAACTTCCTCTTCCAGGAGGAACAAGCGGAAACCAATATTCTCTCAAGGTACGGTCTCCAACAAGAAAGTTGATCAGAAGGTTTAGCTGGTCTAATCCTATTCTGGTAGGATGTGATGTGCAGGCAAAGAGGAATTTAGGCTTTGGTTGTGGATGAAAACACTCCTATACAATACCTTCTGAATGTGTGTGTGTGTATATATATTTATATTATATATATTTTATATATATATTTCATTTCACGTACGTATTTAGGGATTGCTGGGAACATGTTTCACAGAATGATGAGGGGAATGTGCGAGTTTGGTGGTGGGGGCTATAAAAAAAGAACAATAACACAGAAAGGTCTAGTGCGTTACTATATTGAACATCATTTGTTGATTCCTTTTTGACAGACTCAGTCAACGGGTGATCATTACTGTCACTGAGAAGTTGGAGGACACACGCGAAGGACTGATGATTGCACAAAGTGGGGACCTCTTTGCAGTCGTGCCGCTATCTTTCGCTCTGACCCCTGATACGAACGAAGGCTTCCTTTTCAAGAGAGTAGTTAAGACTGCCCTCCTAGCACTGAACCCTTCCTCAAACAATGTGGTTTATGAAGTTGCCATCATTCACGAGGCAACGACAGAAAATCGCATCGCTCTGAAGCTCTCGTCACGATGCCACACTGATCTCGCTTTCCAGAAAGGAAACAGCCACGCCGTAGAGATTCAGTTCCAATTAGATCGGCTCTTATTCTGCTTCAGGCATCAAGCAGTAGACCTGCTTCCAACCGAGAAGATTGTTTTTCCAGATGTTGTCGCCTGTTTCATTCCTCGTTATACTGGATTCATTCCAATCTGTAACCAAAAGCAACGTGCCGCTATGAGCTACATCGCTGGACAAACCTTTGGAGAGAAACCTGCCGCACCTCTACTAATCTACGGTCCTTTTGGAACTGGTAAAACCTTTACCTTGGCAACGTCAGCCATGGAAATCTTGAAGAAACCAGGCACCAGAGTGTTGCTATGTACAGACACAAACAGGTGGGCAAATGTGTTAATGCATCAATAAATAATAATTCTTGCATTTGAAATAGCGCATTATCATGTTGTTGATCATCTAAGAGCGCTTCACAGGTATTACTGCTTGGATGATCATAGCCTTAGGAGGTGATATTTGACAGCAGTAAATAAAATTAAGCTGGTGTGAAAACACATCATGTTCTGCTATAGTCAGATTAATAACGGTCCTTGCTTTATATTGTGAAATGCCTATTTAAATTATCCAAAGTACTAAAGTAACCAAAATGGTATTCTGAAAGAAATTGAATGTAATTGGGCAATTTATCGTTTCTTACTTTGTCATTTCAGTGCTGCCGACCTGTACGTTAAGGAATATTTTGATCAATATGTGTGTTCAGGGCATCCTGAAGGAAGACCGCTGAGAATTAAATACATCAAGCAAAACCCCAGCCACACTGACCCCAAAACGAAACAGTACTGCTTGATCTCTGACAATGCCTTCTATTACCCTGACCGAAGTCTTCTGGACAAGTACCAGATAGTCATCACAACTTGTACAGAGGCCAAGCTGTTTCAGGAGCTTAAGCTGCCGCTTGGGTATTTCACACACATTCTGATTGACGAAGCAGCTCAGATGTTGGAATGCGATGCACTGATCCCCTTGGCTTTAGCGGACGCCACCACACGCATTGTCTTGGCAGGAGATCACATGCAGGCCACGCCGAAGCTTTTTTCCGTTGAAAGCAGCCAGGTGGCCGACCACACTCTGTTGAATCGCCTCTTCCAATACTACCAGAAGGAGAAGCACGAGAAGGCAACCAAAAGCCGCATCATCTTCAGGGAGAACTACAGATCGGTGAAGGAGATCATCGACTTTGTGTCGAAGCATTTTTACGTGGGGAAGACCGACGCCATTCAGGCAAGCGGAAACGTTGCCAGACACCCGACCTTCTATCCATTGATGTTTTGCCACGTTCACGGGAAATGCACTTTTGACTCCTCTAATAGGTCCTGGTACAATGACATGGAATCACCTCAAGTCGTTGAACAGGTACAGGCTGTACTAAAAGACTGGCCCGTGGAGTGGGGAGTGATGGATCCACAGACAGTGTGCGTACTGTCTGAGGGGACACAGGTAATTGTGTGGTCATTTACATAAATTGTTAGAGCGCAGTAACAGGTCATTCGCCCACCTCGTACGTGCCGATATTTATACACCACGTACTCCCTCCCCTACCCTCCTATTTCCCTTCTCCTTTATGTAGTCATGATTTCTTTTGAAAGGAAAGAGAAGGGATGATTCAGGGTACATTAAGGTCCTTCGACAGCCAAGAAACAGCAGTAGCAATATTAAGCCGCTATGTTTCTGCCGCAAAAATGGTTTGCACTACAGTAAGCAGAATCGTTCTGCATCAGGAGGCACCATCTGCAGTGGTACAAGTGTCCCGCAGGCTTCACTACGATATGTTTTCTGATGAATTTTGTGTCCATGGGGATGATGAGGGAAAAAAATGCTCCTGAATCAGGTGTAGGGCACGTTACATGCTGAGTAAAGCTCCCTCTTCTTTGCCCCAGCAAATGTTCCTTAATCCTAATTTCAGTAGTAGTGTTTGACATGTCTGTTCTGCGCGCCAGACAGATACCCTTTGAGGGGATTTGTCAGTTAAGGGCCAATTTGTGCCAAGTTCTGTGATTTTCATCCCACGAATCTGGATTAGATTCAAACCTGGGTCCCTATGGTGCTATGGAAATGTGCTAACTCACAGCATTATTCAATAGACTACTTTTTTCCGTTTTGACAATCCTCACAGATTCTAATCAGGTGCAAATTCACATCCAGCGTTCAAAAATAAGTAAGACTGCGACTTGCAATCCTGAATTTAATTGTTGTTTTTAATATTTTATTTCCAGGTCCAATTGGTGAGACAGGAACTCCGGAAATGTGGGCTGAGATCAGTTGCTGTAGAGAATGTGTCAAATATTCAAGGTAAGTACATTGATAGCCTGTTGAGCTGCATTGATTTGCATTTAATGTGAGAGTTGCCTCTTACAACCTTTGCTCAGGGGCTGAGAGAAGGATATGATAACAGTGTGGTTCTAAAATGAACTACATGTCATTCACTCCCATATACAATTGAGCTTTCACAAGATCACTGGGTCACAAGATTGGTTTGGATGAAGAAAGTCCTTTGGCTCATCCCTCCAGAACACCCTCCCTACTGTCCCCCATCACGGTATCAAGCTGTTTTTTTTTAAAAAAATCATCTAGCAAGTTTCCCAGGTTACCTTTTCCAATCATTGATTATCCTCAGAGTAAAGAAAAACGTCCTGGTATCTGTCCTGCAATTTCCCTTTACAGCTCTAAACCTATGTCTTCTTGTTCTGCTGCCTTGTTGCATTGATCTGGGTTTACTTTTTCGATCCCCTTTAAAATTGTATGGACCTCTGTGAAGTCCCTTCTCCGTCTCCTATCACAACTGAAGAGCCCTCGCTTGACTAATCATTGCTCGTAGCTCATTCCTCGAATATTGGGGATCATAGCATAACATGTAGGAGCAGGAGTAGGCCATTCAGCCCTTTGAGCCTGTCCCGCCATTCAATCATGGCTAATCTTCTAATCTAACTTCAGCTAATAACCTAACCCTGCTTTATCCTCATATCCCTTAATCCCTTTAGCAATAAGAAATCTATCTATCTCAGTCTTGAATATGTTCAAGGACTGAGCGTCAACAGCCCTTTGGGGTAGCGAGTTCCATGCATTCACCACCCTTTGAGTGAAGAAGTTCTTCCTTAACTCAGTGCGAAAGGGCTGGCCTCTGATTTTAAGGCTGTGGCCCCTGGTTTTAGTTTCTCCAACCAGGGGAAACAATCTCCCACTATCTACTCTATCATGCCCTTTGATGGTCTTATAGGTTTCTATAAGATCCCCTCTAATTCTTCTATATTCTAGAGAATATAGGCCCAAATTGGTCAGCCTATCCTCGTAACTCATCCCCTTCATCCCTGATACTAACCAAGTAAATCTACATCCTTCCTCAAATGAGGAGACCAACACTGCATACAGTATTCCAGGTGTGGTCTCACCAGGGCCCTATACAGTTGCAGCAAGTCTTCCCTACTCTTATACTCTAATCCTTTCATAATGAATGCTAACATACCGTTCGCCTTCCTAAGGATCGTCTTTGTTTACTCTCCTCTGTACCACCTCTAGGATCTGGTCAATCCCTTATATCGTGATGACCTGGCATATATGCAATATTATGCAATAGTCCATTGTACAATCTAGCATCCTGTTTACTTTACTTATACAGACACTGTGTCCCCACTCTTTCAAAATTACTTCCATATTTTGCTCACACCCTCTTCCTGGTTTCAAACTTGTCTACTAAACCATCGCTTTGTGTCACTTTCGCTCATCTCCCTCCTACCCCTCCCTTCCCATAGTGATCCACACCTGTGTATGCTTTGAGACATTCTCTTATGTGGCATTCAACAGGTTCATTGATTTCTGCAAATATTAAATCGACCACGTTCCAGTTATTGTACATTTTGAAAGTTCCCTGAACGTTTAATCCAATTGTCAGCTGCCTCAGTTGGTAGCGCGCTCACCTCTGACTCAGATGGATGTAGGTTAAAGCCCCATGTTGAGATTTTGAACTCACCTTGTCCAGATTGATGCTCCAATGCAGTTCTGGGGTTGCGTTGTATTGTTGGAGGTGTCGTTTTTCTGATCAGATGTTAATTAGGCGCTATATGAAAAACAAAGATTACAATAATTGTTATTATATAATAACAGATAGCAAATCTGCTCCAGTTTCTTACTTTCAGTCACTGATCAATCTGGGTTGAGTACGAGCATTCTCTCTATCTCTCTCTCTCGCTCTTATCAAGATGTATAACCTTTTCTTATTGCTCAATCTGAAGTGAAATCTCCGAAATTGGCTCAAGGCCTACACTTTAGTGGCACTATTTGTGAGCACATTTCCTTAAAAAGGGGTACACTTGTGAATTTGATAAATTGTGTATAAGAATAACTAAATTCACGAAGACTTGTTTTCTTTTCTTTCTGTGTCTCTTTCTCTCATCAGGAAGGCAGTTCAGAGTGATAATTATTTCTACAGTTCACACTCGTGAAAGTAGTGTTTCTTTAGACACCTGCATTGAGTTTTTCAATGACTCAAGGGTTTTGAACACAGCCATGACACGGGCCCAGTCTTTAGTGATAGTTGTGGGTGATGCTGTGGCTCTCTGCTCTGTTGGAAAGTGCAGCAAAATATGGAAGAGATATATTCAGGAGTGCATTGACAAAAGCGGCATTTACCCAGAGGATCTGTCAATGGAGCATGTTAAACAGGCCATCGCTGATACTGAGAACTGGGCTTCCATGGAGGAAGACGAAAGTGACAGTGATTCATGCGATTCAGATGTAGATGTTGATCCAATACTTCAGGAACTCTTAGATGAGAGCAAGCACGTGACAGTAACAGTGACCGAGGAAGGGATGTTGGACATTGTTAAAGAAGAGGAAACTGTTCAACAGAGAAGGACCGGAGGAACACCAGGGGTCTTCGTTCGCTCTTTGAAGAAAAGCACAAACGTACATTACACAGATTACCCGCTACACATACTGGAGACGCTGCTGACATCCCAGCCCGAAACATATAGGCATTGTGAGATCGTCATGGAGCAGTTCTACAAGGGCTGGGCCATCTCCCTGGATGACAATCATTCACAGCGCATTAAAATCGAAGGCCGTGTTAATTGCGGGAGGTCTTTCCCCGGCGATCAGGTTCTAGTTGAGATTCAGAATTCAGACCATTGTGACAACACCGCTCTAAGTGGAAAGGTTGTGGGCGTGCTGAAGGAAGGTGACTTGCCGAGAATCTTTGTCTGCACAGTTGACGAGTTTGATTCACAGGTAATGGTGCCTGTCAACAAGTGTATTACAAAGATATACACGCCAGGCCATGAAAAATCTCGCAAAATAATTGCCATTCGCAAGCGCAGAAAAGGAAAAATTGTGACAACCGGAACGCTGCACCTGACAGAAGAAATAAGGAGATCTAATCTCTTTGTTGTCGAAATACTGACTTGGCGTGAGGAATTTTATTTTCCGCTGGGAATGGTAACCAAAGTCCTGCCCGCAGCGGTGACGATGGATCAAGGGTTGAAGATACTGAATTTGGAATATCAAGTTCCCGACAGCTACCCGAAGGAAGTAGCCAAGGAATTGGCCAAATGCAGCCAGGAATCTCGGAAAACGTTTGGAGACAATCGAAACGACTGCCGGAATTACCCAACGTTCACTGTCGATCCCAGAGATTCGAAGGATCTTGACGATGCTATCAGCGTGAGAGATGTGGGTGAATATTATGAGATTGGAGTCCACATCACAGACGTGGCAAGCTTTGTGCCCAGAGGCAGTGCCATCGATGTCGAGGCACTGAAGCGGGGACTGACTTACTATCCCCCTTGCAGCGAACCGATCCACATGTTGCCACCAAAACTCAGCCAGGACCTGTGCAGCCTCCTGCCTGGGAAAGACTGCAGGGTCATCTCTCTGTTTGTCCTGGTGCAGAAAGATGCAGACGCATATGTTGATGTTAGCTTCTCACGCTCTGTTATTCGGTCGGATAGAAAACTTTCGTACGAAGAGGCTGAAGATATCATCCGGGATTTCAGTGGGAGCGAACTCAGATTTGATACGCTGGAAGATTCCATTGCCACCGCCTTCCACTTTTCCCGAGTTCACAGAAAGATTCGCCTTCAAGAGGATTGCTACTACGAAAAGCCCGATGAGCACAGACACCCAGGGAAGAGACAGTCACATCAGATGATCGAAGAACTTATGATCATGATGAATAACTACGTTGCTAATTTCCTGATCAACAAATTGCACACCCAGAATGTGACCCCGTTGAGATGCCAGGGGTCTCCTGTTCATCAACAAGTGGCCAATCTGGAAAGTAAACATAGAAACATGATTCAGCTTTCCCTTCACCTCTCTCATCACATCGACAGTAGTCAAACTTTTCCACTTCCACCTGGTCAGAATTTCCAAATCCTGACTGCTTCGTGGAACTGCCTGAAAGAAGCAGCTCTTAACAACGACTTTCACAAGCTGATAGATTTCATCGCAACAGATGATATCCATCCACAGCTTGCACCAGTGGCATTAGAGCTCAGAAAACTTATGCTCAGATCCTTCTTCATACGCTCCAACTCAACCACTCTGTCCAAGCAAGGCCATTACTCTTTAAACCTTGATTCGTATACATGGGCAACATCACCAATTCGCCGATATTTGGATATTATGAACCAGCGCCTCCTTACTGCAGCCATATGCCACGAGAACCAAGAGTACACTCCTCAGGAAACTGATAAATTATGTCATGATTTCAATCGAAAGAACACAAAGGCTTCGGCTTATGAAAAGAAAGCTCAAAGTCTCTACTTAGCAATGCAGCTCAACAATCAGGTGATGCAAAAGCTAGCTTTTGCTGTTAACGTTGAACCACAAAGCAGATTCTTCAAGATTATATTTCCTTTGAACAGCGAGGGCATGCTAGACCTGCATCCCATCCACTACAGATCTCTGCAGCTCGTGGAGCAACCTATATTTGACGAGAAGAAACAGTCAATGAGCTTGGTATGGAAGAAAAGAGTCTATTGCCTGGAAACTAAGAGAAATACTATTCTGCCACCAAAGGAGTTCTCCAATCCACATGTTACGACCATCAGTGGTAACGCGTGGCAGAAATTTGTTGAAGGAGTCAAATCTGAGCAGTTTACCAGAGTGGTTGCTCTTCTCCTGGAAGAAAGCCGGAATGTACAATCCAGGAACAAGGAAAAGTGTTTTGGTAAGATAGTCGTAAGCAAAGGAAGTAACTCAACCATTTCACATTACGTACAGATTTGCCTGGACCTGAAAAATGGGGATGCGTTGCAGTTACAGCTGGCCACAGAGATAAAGTCTGGTTTCTTGGTGCCAGTGATTCAGTTATTAAATATAACGCCAACATTTGAGATTTGTGTCCAGCACGCAGAGAATCCCATCACGTGCTTCGCCAAATATGCCTCCGAATCACCCAGAAGGAAGTACAAAAATGCAAAGGATTACCAAACGGTCTGGCAACCGCTGTGTGAAATGGAAACTGCCTCAAGTGCTGCAGCAGAGAACGAAGCGATTGTCATTTACGATGTGAAGATAACCTGGGCAGGGGACAATGCTGAAGGAAGAAAGCCACGAGGCTCATTTATCATTTCCAAAAAGAATCGCAAAGATTGGCAAATTCATGTTGATTTGAATAAATGCTTTCTGTGCATACGGTGCAGGGATTTGAAAAGAAACCTGCAAGAGAATTCGACCAAAGATGTGGGGCTTCTTTGTCAAGGTTTCAGGGGCCTTCACGTATCAGAAGAATCTCTGAACTCCTCAGAACTGAACATCAATCCCAACAGCTATGTCTGGGTGGCACATGCTGTGACCTCAAACTTCCAAGAAGACCCATCCAAACTGAGTAGATCGACTGAGGATATAGTAGAGTTTACAGTCCACCAAATGTCCATGGACACTATCCCAAAGGAAGTATTCCAGAAGGGCAGAAGTTTCGTGGTGGAGATCATTTCCAAACTTCTTCCGGATATGTAAGTACTGACATTGAACTGACTGAATGTGAATCTTTTCTATCCCATTTACAACATTTTGGAGCCTGATTGTTGAAGCCATGGACAAATGCATATCTACTTTTAAGCTTGGTTGAAACGGGATAACAATGCTAACAGTACGATTTGATATAAAACTATGTGTGCCCCATACAGACCAGGATTTTTGCTTCTTTTTGGTTTGGTTTCTGTACTGAAGGATGTTTCCACAGCACAGCTCAACGAAATAGGCATGTATTCAGCCCTAGATGTTGGAGACGACAGGTCAGGTTGTTATCCCGTTCCAATCAAGCTTAAAAAGAATCTTCAGAAATGCGTAGCAGCAGCAACAAATTACATGTGTATAGCGCCCTTCACGTTGGGAGGTTGTCCCAAGGAGCTGAAAGGTAGAAGCTATTTGCTTAACCCAGTATTAATGCCAGGCCCAACAATGCTTATGATTTCCTTTTGAATTTTCAGACGTAAAGAAGAAGCTGTTTTGGATCTTGCTTATTCTTCTCGACTTGTTCAGTGTATAGCACTGGGCCAGAAGATCCCTTTCAAACGTAAGAATGTTTCTGTTCTCGTATTAAAAATGCAGAACTCCCAGGAAACCCATTTCTGTTGGTGAGAAATTTGGCAATATTAATTTGCTTTAGTTTGATGCATTCTCAGAGGTTCTGCGTTTCAAATATAACGTTAAACCAAAGTCCAGTCCACCTGTTCAGGATGTTAAAGATTCCGTGGCATTATTCAAGGAGTTTCTCCTGGGATCTTGGCTAAACGTTCTCTGGATAAGTTACTCATTTACTTCATGGCTGTTTGCTGTGCTTAAATAGGCAGTGCACATTTGCCAACAAGTACACAGTTATTACACTTGTTATCAGTGAAGCGCTTTGAGATATATTGGTGTTATAAGCACTATGTCAAATGCAAGGATTGCTACTTTTATGATTATTGTTTAATAACTTTTTTTCCTCAAATGCCACAGAACTGAAATCAACAATATTCAACCGGGACAATTATGACATCCCAGGAGTCAACAAATTATTTTCACCACTTAATATGAGTCAAACGCTGGCAATAAGAGAAGCTCTTCAGAATCCATTCACTCTCATTCAAGGTCCACCAGGTTAGAAGATATAATGTAGCTACAGAACATACAGTGAATTATTTTATTAGAATTTGCAACTTATTCTGAATCCAGTAGCTAAGGCTGTGTTTTGCTCATGTAATTCCAGTGTATCAGCCTCTGTCTGTGTATCTGTCTGTCTGTTTATCTGTCTGTGTCTGACTGTGTCTGTCTCTCTCTCTTTATGTTTATATTTAATAGTACTGTACATTCACAACGGTGGTCCTATTTTGCAGGAACAGGAAAAACCGTGGTTGGTGTTCACCTTGTGTATTGGTTCTTTAAGATGAATGAAGAAAATGTCAGCAAGAATAAGTTGGCTTCAGGTGACAGTCCTGAAAAGTGCATTCTTTACTGTGGACCTTCCAACAAGTCTGTCGATGTTGTTGCTGGTAATAGTTTTACTTTTTGCGAATATTCATTGGCACATTTTGGCATTGTGCAACTCCAGATCCGGTTTAGCTGCACAGTTTAGCTGTTTTGTCAAAACTCCCTCTACTCTGCTCCCAAGATGTGACTCAAACCACAATATCAGCAGCTTTCCGTTCTGTCTGAATGTGATTGGCAATTTAATGCCAGAAAATGCCCAGTGAAGTGGTTTATGTCCCTTTGATGGTTGAGATCGTCCCAACTCATTTCACACGAGCGCAACCTTCTTTGAGAGGAAGAGGTATTCCACCCAGTCAATCTGAGCTACACTCAAATTTGAGAGGACAGTATTGCTATTTCATTATGACATCCAGTATTCTAAATATGCAGGGACACACCATTTTATTAAAATACTATTTAACGCAGTATGCGTACGTGACCTTAATGTGCCCAATAAACCTCAGTGCAGTGATACAGCAAACGTTCTCTTGTACATTTGAATATGATTCTTTCTCGTCGGATCGATTGTTAATGAAATCGCATTCTTCCGTACAGAGTATTTGCTGAAATTCAGAACACTCCTGAAGCCACTTCGTATTTACAGTCAGCAGATGGAGAACGTAGATTTTCCATATCCCGGAAGCAACCTAATAGTTTCCAGGAAGTCGCTCAGGGAAGGAAAGCCCAAATCTAACATCAGGTGGGTGCTTCAAAACAAATTTGGTAATGTTTGTTGGTGCATAATTCACTACAGATGCAGCATCACTGCATTTTACACTAAATCTCGTAAAGCTCTTTGAGATGATTCAACAGCGTGATAAAGATTATTATTAATTACATGATCAATAGTGGTCCATTTTGCCTCATTTTGTGATTAGAAATATACTTCAGCGTAATTGATGTTTTTAGAAATGCAGATATGAATGTCCCGTGAAAAAAAAATTGCTATTGATTTTATAACAACAATCCTTGAGTTTGTATTTGACACAGCGCCTTTTCACGTCTTCGAAAAATCTCAAGCCACTTAATAGGATTGACTATAAGTGTAACTGTATATTTTGAATGCAATACCTTTGTGAATTGTCCGGTACATAGTGTATATTGCTTAAGTAGATGTTGCTGATCTACTGACTCCATTTTTTTTTGGGTTTCAGCACAATTACTCTACATCGCAAAATCCGAGAACCAACAAATCCTTTCTCGGCAAAGTTAAAAGTTTTCGATGCACAGATTCAAAGCAATGAAGAAATGACGGAAGATGAAGTTAAACAGTAAGTCAGAATATGTGAATATATTCGCCCACAAATATACAGTCAATTCACTTTACAGCATATTCTGTGAAGCGCTTTGAGACACCTAGAAAACGTGAAAAGCGCTATATCAAATGCAAGAATTACATTATATTTATTATTATTATGATATTATATTATTATATTTATTATTTTAGTGGCAAATTGATTTTAATTAAATGGAATAATCCGTCACCTGCTGAGGTTGCAATGATGCCTTACGGATGCCGCAATTTAAATAAAAAGAGAGAAATTTTGCCCCCAAAAATCCTGACTGGCAGGGTGCTCCTAGCTGGACAAGCAGCGGGAAAGCTTGCCAGACAGTGGTATCAATGACACGCTACGCGTGTTTAACTGGTTAGACTCCAGCAGTTACCCCAATGCATACTCTGGGGTCCCCAAGCTTTGGCTCTTGCCAACCTGCGCCTAACTCTTTAACAGTGAAGATTGAACAGTGAAGTGAAGCAATTGGACATCAAAAACCAGAACACAGTTGGTGAGTTCATGATTCTAGGTTCAGTGGAGAGTCTGAAATATTGACTGTACCTTAGGATTGGAGCAAGTCCTAAAACTTCATCAATGGGTACTAATAAGCAAACAAACAGATTAAGAAGAAACATTGTTATACATTGTAATACGCTGCCACTAACCTAAATAGGCAATATTATGCTATGCGTTGCCTAAATATTGCAGTTAACATATCACATTGTTATTCTCCCAACTAAAACATAGGAATTGATAAGAATGTAACAACAACAACGACAACAACAACAGCAAAATTACATTTATAGAGCGCCTTTCACGACGGGAGGACGTCCCAAAGCGTTGAACAGTCAGGTGTCGGGGCCCGAGCATGTGGGAGGGGTGGGGTTGGGGTGAGGGAAGGCAGAGAGGTGGGAGGGAGTCCAAAGGCACGGTCGAAGAGAAGGGTCTTGAGACCGGCCTTGAAGGAGGTGAGGGAGGAAGCGAGGCAAAGGGACTGTGGGATGGAGTTCCAGAGTGTGGGGGCAGAGGCTGAAAGCCCGGCCACCGATGGTAGGACGGGTCGGGCGGGAGACATGGAGCAGCCGGAGCCTGATGAGCGGAGGGACGGGGGCAGGTTGGTAGGGAGTGAGCAGGTCAGAGAAGGTAAGGCCAGAGATGGCCTTAAAGGTGAGGACGAGGATCTTGAACTCGATCCTCTGGCGGATGGGGAGCCGGGCGAGGGGGGGGAGTGATGGGGTCACGGAGCCTGGTGCGCGAGAGTACACGAGCTGCAGAGTTTTGGATGATCTGCAGCTTGTGAAGGGAAGAGTTGGGAAGGCCGATGAGGAGGGAGCTTCCATAATTGAGACTTGATGTGACGAATGCATGGATGAGGGTTTGGGCAGCCTGAGGGGTGAGGCAATGGCCGAGTCTGGCAATGTTGCGGAGGTGATGGTAGGCAGTGCCGGTAATGGCGCATATGTGGGTGAGAAACGACAGTTCAGGGTTAAACAAGACACCCAGGTTCCTGACTGGCCTAGTGAGGTTGAGTGTGCAGCCGTGGAGGCTGATACTGCCAGCGCCTGAGGTGCAGAGGTGCTGGCGCGAGCATCAGGAGGGCCTCGTTCTTGCTGACATTGTGTTGGAGAAAGTTGGCCTTCGTCCAGGACTAAGTCAATTTATAAGCATTGCTTTTGACATCAGTGGGCTACGGTGTCAAGTTGGAACAAATCTTTATTCAATGGACATTTTCCTCACTGTCAAAGGAGTCTAGTCTTCTCATGGAGCAAATTAACTGCTGGAATTTACCAGACTAGGAATAATAATAATAATAATCCTTGCATTTGATATCGCGCCTTATTACATCTTCGAGTTGCTCAAAGCACTTCACAGAATATACTGTAAAGTGAATTGACTGTATATTTTGCGGGCGAAATGCAGCAGCCAATTGCACAACGGCAGCGTCCCACAAACAGTCCTGGATTGAGTGACCACATTTTTTTTTATTCTGTGAGTGCATAGGTTTAAAGTTCTGCTTCGTCTGGTCTGACACGTGGCATTATTTTTCAGATACAAAAATTTACTCAGTCAAGCACGGAAGTATGAACTTAAGCGGCACAATGTGATCCTCTGCACGTGCAGCTTTTCTTCCAGCCACATGCTGTCGGAGTTGAGTGTGCAACAAATCCTGGTGGATGAGAGTGGCATGTGCACTGAGCCCGAGTGTCTCATTCCCCTTGTTTCACACAAACATGCAGAACAGGTCAGTTACTCTGATAAAGATGTATTTTTTCAATAATAATAATATTAATTGCATTTGATAGAGCGCCACATCATGTCGTCAAGACGTCTCAAAGTGCAATTGATTTCTATCCATAACTTTCCAATTCTGAGACCTTACACCATGGTTCCTTTTTCCAGTCTGGTTGCTATGATAGTCTCTATGACTTGCAGGTCTCTCTCTATCCATCTGCACCAATGGCACTTTACTTTGCAATCAGTGCAGCTTCTGTATGCCCACGACTGGCAACAGCAGGTTTTACAGTTCAAAGAAGCTGCATTTAATCTAATTTATGAACACATTCATTGCGTTTTTTAGAGATTTTCCATCGGTAAGATGCTTAGGACACCAGCAAGCTAATGTTTCTGTGGAGCATTAGGAGTTACGGCACGTTAGTTTGTGTTGTAAGTATCGGGTATTATAGTACACTCTGTTTTAAAAGCTCAGCAGAGCAGAAAATAGCTTTCAAACCCTTGAATGTAAGAATGTACCATGATTATGAAACAGTTAAAACATTGAGGATTGGTTTCATTTCTAACCAATTCCATTCTACAAAGTGAGTTGACTCGTGTCGTTTTACATGGAAGGCACTGTCTAAGTACCAATTACGATGCTTTTTTCCCCTTCAGATTGTTCTACTCGGAGACCATAAGCAGTTGCAACCTATTGTCACCAATGATTTCTGCAGGCGCCTGGGTATGGAGGTATCGCTGTTTGAGCGCCATGTTTTACAAGCTCGAATGCTTGATGTGCAGTATCGGATGGTGAGTATGCATGTTGCTTGCATGCTTAGGGTGATCAAGGTTTCACAGTAATTTAACAGGCAGAATATTGGGGGAGAAATTCCATCTGAATCTATATATTTTTTTATTCCATCTTGAAATAGATTTTCTTTTGAGAACTTTTGAGAATACCCAGCTTCGGAGCTAAGACTGAATTCAACAACTCGATAAATTCTGGATGCTCTGAAATGCTACATAAATATAATAAATCCAGTGCTTTGTGAAAATAATGTGGTTATTTCGTCATTCTCCAGCACAGAGAAATCTGCCAGTTCCCCTCTGAGAAGTTTTATGAAGGAAAACTGAAAACTGGTAGCCAGGTTGATCGCAGACCGCCAAGCATCTTCTGTCACCGTGGGAGCAGGAATTGTCCCACGCTCTTTGGGCACTTGGTGGGGACTGAAATGAGTTTGGTGGTGTCAACTGAAGAAGGAAACGAGAATTCCAGAGCAAACAAATTGGAGGCTGAAAAGGCTGTAAGTAACTTAGGTGGAGCTCTGCAGCTCAGTGGTTAGAGCAATCGCCTCGCAAGCGAGAGACCTGGGTTCTATTCCCAGCAGGGCAAAATATTGGGCAAGTTTCCTTACTCCACATGTCTCTGTTTACCTAGCAGTAAGTAGGAACCCGGATGTTAGTCGATGGGTGGCTCGCTTTTCCGAGGATAATAATAATCCCTCAAAAAACAATAATAATTTGTCGCTTCAATCCACGACTGTTTGTGGGACACTGCTGTGCGCAATTGGCTGCCGCGTTCGCCCACAAATATGCAGTCAATTCACTTTACAGTGTATTCTGCGAAGCGCTTTGAGACATCTCGAAGACATGATAAGGCGCTGTATCAAATGCAAGGATTATTATACATAAACAAAAGGCAAAATACTGCAGCTGCTGGAAATCAGAAACAAAAACAGAAGTCGCTGGGAACACTCAGCAGGTCAGGCAGCATCTATGGAGAAAGGAAAGTGAGTTAACGTTTCGGGTCCACGACCCTTCGTCAGAACTCAAAGGGTCGTGGACCCAAAATGTTGCCTCACCTTCCTTTCTCCATAAATGCTGCCTGACCTGCTGAGTGTTCCCAGCGACTTCTGTTTTTGTTGCAAGGAATATTATTATTGTTCTCAGTTTCATTTCTCTGTCCTGAGCGGATGTTTTGTTCTCTTTCCGACTAATAGGTTCATATCGTGAGACAGCTAATCTGTGCTAGAGTCAAACCAGAAAGTATTGCAATTTTAACACCATACAATGCACAGGTGCAGGAGATAAATAAGTTACTCAACGTTGGGCGAATTACAGGGGTCACTGTGTGTACCATCATCAAAAGTCAAGGTAACTAATGTTTTTTGATTAAAATTGTGTGGATAACCATCACCAACCTGGGCTTGAGATGCCAAATAACCTCCTTCTTTAAAACAAGCATAATTTCTATGATTGATTGATTGATTGATTGAATGAATGATAAGGTACACCCAGAACATTTGTTTATATTTTCTTAAAGGAAGCGAGTGGCGATATGTCATTCTTTCTGCAGTTCGCTCTCTTCCACGCAAAGACGTTGACATTAATCCTTCCAAATCCTGGCTGAAGAAACATCTGGGTTTTATCACTGATCCGAACCAAGTGAATGTTGCACTAACAAGAGCACAAGAAGGTCTCTGCATTCTAGGTGAGTAAAACGGCTCACGTTTAAAGTTTGTAGAAAAACGCTTGGCATGAATTGTACGGTACATTACAATTTACACTTATAAATAGCGTCTATCGGGTGATAATGAAGCAGTTTCCACCTCCCACATTTTTCTGCCTTCACCACTTCCCATTTGACTGCTTTTATTATTATTATTATTATTTTCGCCAATGCTTCACCCTGTCTCACTTCGCCACAAGACACTCTCATAATCCTCTAAATTCTCTTCGTGTTTGGCGTTAATAGGTTTAGCACTTTTGCTAAATTAAAAAAAAGAAGGTTCGAAAATGGTCGGTCAATTGGCAGCATCTACTTAGAAACTGATTGACCTAAATAGTTGTTTGTTTTAACCGTACAAATAGTAATTTCCATAGCAACCATCTGTGAGCGAGGGTGCATGGCTTTTGTTACGGGAACCCAATGCAGGCCCACAACCCTGGCCATTGGATGGAATCCAGACTTATGTTGAGCTTTCCGTCTTGGATGCTCAATTCACAAGTGGGATCCTTGTGAAATAAAAAAAAAGTCATGCTAAATGTGTCTTTTAAAATACCCCAATTCCATTTAGAATGTGCTGGCCATCTCAAAAAAACGTTCTATAAAGTATTGGCTTCATTGGGGCGTTAATAATAATAATAATAATCCTTGCATTTGATATAGCGTCTTATCATGTCTTCGAGACGTCTCAAAGTCCTTCACAGAATATATTGCAAAGTGAATTGACCGTAATTTGCGGGCAAAATGTCATAGTCAGGCCTTCTCTCTGCTCCTTTGCCATGTGGCTGCGGAACACATGCATTGTGATTAATCGATGAATCCCTTTCTTTGATAAAATGCTCTGGTTCCCCAAAAGGCAATGCAAATAGAGATACAGTTTGTGAAATGCAGTGTTAAATCATTCTGTGGATGCTTACTGACACCTACAGGAAGAGCAGGGTTGGTGTGTTATGTGCTGATTGCCATGGAGGATGCAGGGCTGCACATATTTAAAGTTAAAATGGTTCTGAAATTTGCAATGTTTCTATTATGATATGCTGCAAGCTTCACCTCTATACCTGCTCTGCATAATCTTTCCAGGTTGTTTGAAATGATGCTAGAATGTTTTATTCTGTATTTGGAGAGCACAGCATTTTTACAATACAAGGTGCCCACAAAATTCGCAGTCCATCCACTGAGTGTATCCTGTGAAGTGCTTTGAGACGTTTCAATGGCGTGATAAGGTGCTATGATGCTCCTCACACCTTCGTTAAGTATATAGAATATTTCAGAGCTGGTGATGTGGTTTTCTCTGGTAGTTTTTAAAAAGAAAAATACATGTACCTGGGTCCATCAAAGGTGGCACTTGCGTGCACATAGAATTGTTGTGGACAGTGAAAGAAAATAGATGAACTAAGTGAGCATTTTTCTTAGCATTTTATCTGTTTTTAGGAAACGAGCACTTACTGAGGTGCAGTAATCTTTGGAGGGACCTGCTGGCGCATTACAGGGCGAGGAACCGCCTGGTGAAGGGTGAAGAAATTTCCGTTTTGACAACATAGTCAAAACTCAGTAAATCCAAACTGCATTCCCACTGCTGTCTAGAAGTGTCTGTATTTTAATATCTGTGAAAAACATGCAAAGACCCTAATTAGGACGCAGGCCTATACGTATAGCAGACCTTAATTCCAGTTTGGCTAACTTTTACACCTCTACTTTTAACACGAAAGCACACAAATACAAAGCCATTTTACCAGAACAATTACCAAAGTGAAATGCATCCATTTATCCAATCTTTGATTAACGCAGATACGGAAAAATGTTAGATTTTTGTACTCAGTTACACCAATCGGAAAGGGATATCTTCAATCCAGTCATGTACAGTACTTTAACACCCAAATCCACACTGGAGCAGCTTTTAAATATAAGTACTGTTTTCGAAAACAAGTCAAAGGATTTGTTTTTCTAAAGTAACGTGCACATGTAAAATTGATGCTTATTTTTTGAAATGCACTTGCAGAGTGTAAGATAATGCGTTTGAGGTTAACTAATGTCAGCATTCCTATTTTTGTAGTAATTTTAGAGTTTATAATGTTTCAAATGTTTTGTGGACCAAAAAACAAAGAAAATATTTGCACTTGCCACTGGATAGAGAGGACAATACTTTATTTACGTCGTACTCAAAATTGTACTTTTTATTGATACTTTTAAAGAACCAATTTTACTACTACAGCCTAACTGTTTTTAGAACTTTTTTAAAAGAACGATTGGCTTCATCGGTTTTGGCTTCATGCATTCCATGTCTCCTGCTAACAAAGAGAACGTTTGGATGATTCCATCGAGTCTTTGGCAGCGACAACTGAATAGATTTCATTCAATATGAAGTTCTGGTGACTGTCAGAGGTGGCCAAGTATTTAGTAAGCATTGCTGAACTAGAACCCAAATCTCAGCATTTTGACATTGTCGGTGAGTTTGAGTGCCTCTACGCTACAAAGGGTTTCTACCACTTGAGGGCCTTAGTGAGCTAGTCATACGAAAATATTGGAGATGGTTCCAATCATAGGAAGCTATTGTACTTGCAAACCAGCTTCATTTTACACAGCCCCCAAATTAACCCCTAGACTTTTAACTCCTTTAGAATTTACCTCCAATGACTATCCATGAAGTAAACTTTTTTTTCTTTCTTAAGTGTGTTCTTTTTCCATTTTATTGCCTGGTCTGTTTAATCTCTCAGGTCTTTCTCTGCTTTTGAGAGGATGAGACTTCTTTTTTGCAAGATTAGTTACTCCTGTTCTTACCGAATTGACATACCAGGTTGAATTTTTTTATGAAGTAATTTCTTTGATCCAGACATTCCCACTGTTGCATTAATTGGAGCCTGAGCAAGTATTCCAGTGAATGAATATTACCAAACTTCCAGTGTGGAGAAAGTGGTACAAAGCAATGATAGCTTCCTGTCGGTCTTCAGGGAGAATTTATATTTTGCTAAGACAATCAAATTCACTGAATAAATAATTACACAGTTGTGAAATTAAGATTACTTGATGGTTCCTGTTATGTTCATTGAAACAACTGTTAGACAGAAATAAAAACAATCAATGCAAAATAGAAAGTGCTATTTGGGATTGGACTTTTATAGGTAAATTTGTTTTCGAAAGCTACACACTGTAGTTATGCACAGGCTCTAACACTGTTTGTGAACGCCAGAGAGTTTTGTAAACTACAATGCAATTTCCTTATGCTGTTATGAAACTAAATTGTCATAATATTTTAATGAAGTGACTTTTTCAGTGAATTAATCTTTTGTTTGATTTTTGCTGCGTGCCAAATGTTTAGATTTAGGCTGCTTTGCAACACGCAAGAATTTTAAGCAAAGTCTTATTTTTATATACATGTTCTTTAAACTAAGTTTTTTTTCCCCCAATAGTGAGCACTTTCCACCATTGATCCTTTTGCAGAGTCTGCTGACTCTGGCGTCTCTGTGTTGGGCAGATTTGCCATGCTAGATCTTTCTAGAGGCAGATATTCAAGATTTCTCTTGAAACGGGTGAAATTCTCAGCCACAACCCTCAGGTTTGAGGGAGAGACAATTTTGAGGCAGGACTTAATTCGGAGTTTCATCCTCACTTTTCAGCGCTGACAGTCCACTTGCATTTAATATCATTTCCTGATGCACAATTGACATCAAGCAGCAATAATTAGAAAAATAAATCAAACCGTTCATTTTACAGATACTTTGTAATCAGCACACTAATTAGCACTGCACTAATTTATAATTACAAACTTCTTTTAAAAAAAATGAGATTTAAATAAGAGGAAACGTGATGTGGACATGAGCTAGAAGAGAATAGAGGGATTTGGGAAAGAGGATTAGGAGGGTTGGAGGCTCATGTGGAGTATAAACACCGGCATAGACTACTCGGGTTGAATAGGCTGTTTCGGTGCTCCAAGTGATTCTAAATTGAAGAAGTAGTTTCTAGCTATCTTAGCTATCAGCAGATTTTATTGCCATGATTTCCAGTTAATATATGTCCCATTCCATCTGCCTTCTGATTTTGTTTTCTAGGAAGGGACAAATATGTTTCGGTCTGTCATGCCACCTGAGCTGGAAATGCAAGAGAGAGAGAGAGGGGGTGGGGGCTACGAGGTTAAGGATATGCAAGCATATCAATGCATTCATATCATTTTCAAACTATACTCCTTGAAGGAATTGAATTTATAGCAAATTATATTTTTGGAGGCTCTCTTAAGTTGTGATGAATAGATTCTGAATGTTCTGATTTTACCTGCAAAACACAGGTTAGCAAGTTTCTTTGTGTCTCTAGTCTGAACATTTTTACCAACATGTTTAGTAGAGGTGTGTGGTGTCTGTGTTTTACATTCCCTTATTCTAAAGTATCAGGTTACAATATTGTGCTTGATATAGATGTCAACAAATCAAAGTACAGTGTTAAGTGCCATTATAATAATTTGAGACTTTTTTAAATAAATTATTTGTATGGTAGGTTATTCTTTCTCTGGATTATATTTTATCAATTTATGTTTCTTAAAGGTGCCATCTTTATTTTGCTCAGTGTCATGTGGAAACGTTAATGAAGTTGTGCTGATGTATGTTTTGTATTTGAAAGTAGATGCAGTGCATGTACTGGTTAAAATACGTAATCTCACATCAGATTCATGTAAATTGTTGAATGCTTAGCTATCAAGTGCGAAACGCATTGAATAGCAATCTTGAACCCCTCCTCTCTGCACTGGAAGTTGATAGTCATGTTTTAATAGGAATAGAATCAAAATATCTCAATGTTCTTAAAAATATATATGGTTAGCATATTCCTACTATGAAAATGTGAATTTTCTTTATTGGGTAATAAAAAGACTACTTTTTACAATTTTGTAAGCGATTGAAGAATAAATGTAATGTAGGGAATTTCCGATTTAAGATTTATTTTGTGGGTTAGTTCAGTCTTGGACTGGGCAGCAATATCATCAAATAAACTGTCTGAAGACCATATGAGTTTGGCACAATTGTTGTATTTACCTTCCCTCCGTAAGCTGATGAAGATCTCCCTTCAAAGAGATCTCATTGCCTTGTGACACCCTCTTGCAATGTTCCCGCATGCAAAGGACATGGCCAATGATGTGGTTATCCTATAACAGCATTGCCCACATTTGGTCCTAGTTGTGTTTTAATTGAATATGTTCTAAATACAACGCAAAAGTTCACACTGACACGAAGTGTAACTTCTAGCGCTTCGTGAATTTACAAACATTTCAATCATCCTGGCTGTTTGTGGGACGTTGCTGTGTACAAATTAACTACAGTTTTTGACTGCAAAAGACACAGTCACTGCACTTCACAGTCAAATCCAAACGTAATTTTGTATTGTATTGTAAGTGTTTTGAGACATCCTCCCATGTGAAATGCGCTGTATCAAGTGCAAGGATTATTTTATTCACATTATTCAGAGCTGTCGCCACAATGAGATGCTGTGACACTGTACGTGTAAAGCAGAATGCTGTCAAGTTTGTTTAGATAAACGACTATTTTGTTGAAAAGAACTACTTGACAAGGTTGAAATATCATAACGTTTTATGTCCAGGTTGCAAAACACAAAGAACAAGCTGTATGCTTACCAGATTTACTTTGCATGTTACACACAGAAAGTGCTTGCTTTATTTGGATAAATTAAACATAAACTTAATGTAACGGGAGATAAATGAAATGGTTTGCGGCTGAACCGTTCATAGTTTAGAGACGATTCTTTTTTTTTAAATCGGATTCACAAATGTTACGACACAACAGAATGCATTGACCAATCGATTCAGTTGCCCTTTTCGACTCCTGTTGTAAACTTAATAGCAAAAATATCTGTACATTCAAAAAACAACACAGTTACAGTTTAAATGGTACTATCCATCTTGGCAGTTTGTACTTTCACGTGTAGTCTTCAATCCCTTTGGCTTTTCTATAGGTCTGAAACCTCTTCCGAGTAAGCATCGGCATCATCATCTGATCTGACTGAAACTCGGAAATGACGTCTCAGAAAGCCACCGTACCTCTTTTGGTTGTCCCATTTAAACCGTGGTCTGCCGACTCTTCGCATGAATCCTCCATATCTCTTTTGAAGATCCGCTACGTCTTGATTTTCCCCATCGCCCGGCTCTGCCCTTCTCTTGTAGCCGAAGCCTTTCGTGAATCCTCCGTAGCGCTCTTGGGGCTCAGGGCCGTCGCCGTTTTCTTCGGACAGATCCTCGGTTGCGTCAGTAAGTTCCCGCGAGCCTTTTTCCAATACAGGGACACTTCTTTCTCCAAACTTTTTCAGATACTCTCTGTACTTTTTAGGGACTCTCCCTTTGTCGTTCGTATCGTGTTGCGCCAGTGCTTTAGCATAAAGGCGATTCTTGTCCAGCTTCCTCAGGAAGCTCCCGTAGGGCTTCAGAAGATTTCCGTACTGTTTTCCAAGCAGCGCCTCTTCACTCTCCCCTTCCTTTTCTTCAGCATTTGGGATGGTGAAAGCCTCGTTATCGTTGCCCAAGATGTCGAGCTTGTATGTATGAAGAGCTTTCTCACATCTCTCCCACTCTCTGGCGGACAGTTCCACCCCCTCGCACTCTAAAGTGCAGATCTGAGAGACAGTAGAGAAAGGCAAAGATGATTTCAGGACAACTACAATGTCAACCAATTGAGTACTGATGTGCAGTGGATTATGTAGAATATAACATACACCCAGTTGTTAAAAAAAAACAACAAATTGGTCACTCAATCCACGACTGTTTGTGGGACACTGCTGTGCACCATTGGCTGCCGCGTTTCGCCCACAAAATATACAGTCAATTCATTTTACAGTATATTCTGTGAAGCGCTTTGAGATGTGATAATGTGCTGGATCAAATGCAAGGATTATTATTATTGCACATTCTCTTACCAGCGGTAGATCTGTATGGCTATGGGAAGAAGTCTGATGCATTCGTATTACATCTCATTTCTCTTATCAAATGAGGGTTGGATACGAACAGATGTAAATGCGAAATGCCCAATTTGTCTGGTCGCTGCAGTGATCTAGACGAGGATGTGCTTGAGAATAAATATGTTACTGTATATCAGGTGCAATTATCTTACCAGAGGGTCGATGGAGCTGTCCAGCACGGAGCTACAGACTGAACACTGACTGGTACAATCAGCCCGAGCAGTGTGCAAGGAAGTCAGTGTGAACACCAGCACAAGCACATTCCACTGCATCATCGCCAGAAACAAAGGGCGACGAGTCTCCTGAATATCTGAGACACAACAAATAATAGCAATGATAAGTCTCCTCATCGCAACCTGTGGATCGGGTTCCCGACAGCTACAAATACAAGTACAGGGTGTCCACAAAGTCCTGTTACCCTCATGTGTTTTTTAAATTCTTTACAATGCGCTGACCAACAACAACAACAACTTGCATTTATGTCGCGCCCTCCAGACAGGGTAACGTCTCAGAGCGCTTAACAGTGGCGGAGCCTGACTCCGAGACCGGGGGTGGGGGTGGGTGGGGGGAGGTAAACGTAAGCACGGTCGAAAAGGAAGGTTTTCAGGCGGGTCTTGAAAAAGGGGGAGAGAGAGAGAGAGCGGAGGGGTTGAGGGAAAGTGTTCCAGAGCTTCGGGACGTAGTGACTGAAAGCGCGACCTCCGATGGTGGGTTGCGACCAACAATTGAAACATGTGGAAGAATAAAGATGATTGTATTTAGAAGTACTTAGTTGTATTCAGTGCGGTGGGGGGGGGGGGGGGGGAGGGGAGGGAGGGGTAACAGGACTTTGTGGACACCTTGTGGGTTCCATAGCATTCCAATTAGAGTTTGTCGTCTCCTTTCACCTGTGTTTTTGTCTGTTTCTTAGCTTTGCATCACACTGTCTGAAGTGCAGTTTAACTATGAAAGATTTAGCTGAAGTTACTTAAATGTGTAAATCTAAATGAATTGTAAGATGGGACTATATCCTCAGGGTCTACAAACCTTATTGGACATAATGTATGTAAACTCCACACACACACACACACACACCTGTATGTGCACATGAATGAACTAACACACGTTGTACAGAAAGTGAAGAATTACTCCACACCAAAAAAAAAATTCTCCACTGTTCCTGATTTGGATCGGTTACATCTTATACGTCCCAACTACCATTGATCTCATTTCCAAAAGGGAAGTGTAAGCCTATGATCGTATAACTTCAGAGATGGAATTAATGAAGGGATCATTCTATGAGAGCAATTCCCTGTGGAAAAAAAAAACTTGTTCAGTGTTACTGTCAGAAGAACTCACAGTCGATGCAAACCCAATGCGAATTAAACTCTTGAAATCAACAAATAGTGTTTTTTTTCTATTTTTTCTCTTGTATACCATCTTATTTTATCCAAGGGACATATTGAGTGCAGCAGGATTCTGAATTATCCTGGCATTATTATAACTGAAAGGGTTTTACAAAGATCAGTTATGACAATAAAACCTCATATACACCTAAATAAATGCAGATATATCTCTTAATCATTAATACACGGTTGAGACTGACATATATGGCCATGGAAGACAAGTGAAGATATAAATATGAAGGCAGTTTTAGTGTAGTATCTGATTTTAATAATAGCAGTTCTATTCGAATATCTACAGCATAATACCAAACACACACACACACACACACACACACAGAGAAAACATGAGTTGATCAGAGGTAAATGTTAACTTACCTGGATGGCACTGGATACCCAAATCAAAAAAAAAAAGTATCTGTGGGGTTTTTTTTTCTGAAAGGGTTGCAGTTGTATGGTGCTGACTTCCCTTGCAAAACGTAGAGAGCAATTTCTTTTTTTTTTTAAAAAAAACTGAGCACAGAGTTTCTTGCTATTTCATTAACACCTTCGGATTTGCCAAGTGGTGCTGAGCTGCAGGATTGCCAATCTGATGGGTGCTCAGCCCTGGTCGCTATTTATTTGCCAGCAGTGGGGGCTGCTGTGAATCATGCGACGTGGACTATACATTTGCTGGGAGCCAATGGAAGTACAGTCATACACTGATCATATTAATTATATCTCAAGCAGCTCCTACAATACACAGACATTTCACAGCCATCCTCTCAGGCACAACCCAAACCATTCTCCTGTGACAAAATGCAGAAAGCAAACACGTTGAAAATGTGATCCAGCAATCAGTTAAAGGGTGTCCCATTTACCTGGTGGGTTCACATTTATCTAACGTTGTAAAACGATTGATGACCTTTTCATATCTGTCTTTTAAGCTTTACTTTTTATTTATTCTGAGAGAGCAGCAGTTACCTGTACACGTAATGCACAGAAGGCAATTGCAGTTTCCAGGTAACTGTCCTCTGGTTGAAAAGTTGTTTGCTTTGATTTTATTTTAGGCTATAAAAGGGGAGGGGGGGGAAAAAAAGATTATTTTCAGGTCACACTGGATTGATTTTCTTCCTCTCCCTTTGTGTGTGTGTGTTTTTTCTATGTAACACAAGCGTGCAAGTCATTTCAGTCAAACCAAAGAGAAGATTAATTGTTAAGGTGAGAGAGAGAGAGAAAAAAACACCCTAATATCTTTCATTGAGACATTGCATCAAAGCAGGTAGGCTTGTTTTATACCCTTTGCTGATTTATTGACATAAATAGCCATGATATGAACAAAGCTGATTGTTGCTACATGAACAAACACATCATCTGTAGTCTGTACTGAATCAGTCAGTGGTGTTTTAATGCACAGAAATAAAAGAGATGTGGGCAGAATAAACACAAAAATAATTGTGTGCTGAGGTGTATTTTAATTCCAGCTAAAGTTTGCTCTCCTCTTCAAAGACATTTGTGTTTTATTTTTATTGGTGCTTCGCTTTGCATTCAGGTAGCTGTTAATTCTATATTCCGAGGTGAATCTGTGGAAGGATTTTTTTTTTGCAATCAGGTTGCAGTTACATGGTCAGGCGTTGCTTCATCGATTATGTCTGGGTGGGAACACTGTATTGTCAGGGTTAATGGATAATACAGTCCCTAATGGCTGAGTAGAAGGGCAGTTATTTCACCTCTTAAACTGAAGACACCTGGAATATCCTTTGCCTATCATCACAAAACCAGGAGACCACAAGATCATGACAGAGGTTTTGGAGAAAGACAACCTTTTCATCCCATTTAATTTCTTCCTCTTTGAATACCAGCCCTACTAACTTCCATTAGACATCAAATTGGTTCTTAAATGGATCTCAAATGTTGGCGTCCAACCACCATTCCAGATTACCAGATAACCCACAACATATAGTAGTCCCACTTTATAATATACCCTGTGAAATGCTTGGAGACATCGCCCTGACACGAGAGGCGCTATATCAACTGCAAATTATTATTAATAATAATAATCATTCCCAGCTGTTGCTTGTCCTGTATGCTTGCTAGAGTCTGTCCTAAACTTGCTTTTCATAAGTAAACCTGTGCCCTCATGTTCTGCTGTCCAAGTGTAAGAGACCACTTAAAATAGTAAGTAACATTGCGTTAGTAAGACATATACAATGCAATAAATAGGCTCTGTCATTTTAAGATTCTTTTCATTACTTTGCTACCCATTAAATATATAGTTACTGTAAACAAAGCAATGAGTAAAACCTTAAAAATGGTAGTGTGCTTTAATTAGGGTTGTGGCTCATCATAGCTGTACTTCTTTTGAATGAGGAATGAATTTTTGAAGTCATATAACAGTACAGAGAGTACAGAATAATTCAAGCTTCTAACCATAAGTCTTCCAGAGTTATTCCTATTTACAGGCTAAATACGAGGAGATCATAACGTTTCTTAATCCAAGAGAACCCCTGAATGAATAACCAATATCACTTTTTGAGTCATTTGTAACTGTTATCTAAAAGCCACCAAGACTGTGTTACTTGAATTATTTCTAATTGCTATGTTGCAGTCTGTGTTTGTATAAAGTACATATATGAGAGAGAAGGGAATTGAGGGTTAGAGGGAGACTATGGAGGGGGAAGGTTGGCATGGAATATAAACTAACCAACACAGACTAGAGGGTCTGAATGGCCTGTTTCAGTGTTTAGAGTCTGAGTAATTTTATGTGTAATTTGATTTCTCAGTAACAGTTTTCAGGAATACATTAAGCTCTTACATTAATTGAATCCATCTTAGTCTTTTCCTGAGAGACCACAAGGATGACTAATGCGGGAGATAAGATGGATTATTATTAAGGTACAGTGGAGATAACTTTACATTGTATCTACCAATGCTATGCCTGAAGTGGGAATACTGTACTTGATGCTGACTTTGGGTGCAGAAGTGGAACGTCGTTCCATTCGCAGCAACGATATCCTTCACTTCGACAAGTACAATGAGCAAAAACATAGTTACTATGAATCCCTTCTGTCCCGAGAGTGCTTTAAAGATATCCAAAAGATATCTCCTATTTTAATCTGTAAGTAAGATTTATAACTGTGTTCGGCTGCTGACATCATTCTATAATCTCTATTATGCTGTTTTAGCTACAATAATGTATTTGTCATTCATTCAGAAACTTTCCTGCGTGGTTAGTTACATTTCAGCTCAAGCTCTTCTGAAGGCCAGCACCTCAGTCAATGCAGCACACCTCCAGCACTGCTCTGGATTATCACCGGCCTCCCGAGGCAATGTGAGTCCAATGACCCGACATGCAGCTTGAACTGACAACCTTCTGACTCAAGGAGAGGCGTCTGATTAGAAAAAACACGCGCACTAAAAATCCTAGTTTCCTGGAATTTTAAGACAGTGAGGTAGTAAAAGATTTAAAGGCTAAAATAGTGACTCACAGCCCTAAACAAAGAGCAACCGTTCCAAGCAGCACATCATAAAGGATTTGTTTAAAAGCTGTCAAATGGATGAAAAGACAACGTTTCAGACGAGAGCTTTGAAATCATCAGAAAATAGTAAATGGCTGACAGACTACTGTGTCAATCAGGAGATTGAAGACGCATTGAGTTGAAGGTGGCTTATGGCTTCCAGTAAAAAAAAACATACAGGTGCCACATCTTGTATCTCTCTTACTTCACCTAATTTTAAATAGTTTGCAAACGTCAAGTTAGATTATAAATGAAGCTTTGTACTGAAGCTAGATGATATACAATATATCTATGTATATATGGGATAACATTTCCCCAAAATTAAACAAATTGCTTATTGCTTATTAAAAATAATATATTCAAAGTATTCAAAATACTAATTATGAAAAAAAATAAAAAAGTTATTTTTGACACACGTGTATCCTTATGAACAAGTGCTTCGTGGAGCAAGATGATTGGGAATATGGAACTGCAATCAGCAAATGGAAGACACCTGCTTATAAATATAAATTAACATCCTGACGTGTTGGCATGATTTCCTCTGGGAGTCAAGGAAGATTGTTAGTCTTTCTTTCTCTTTTATTTATTTTCCTCGGGAGATTAATTAAGTGAGGGGGAGATATCACAATGCAGATTGAATACGATCCTACAGCATTATTGGGTTTGCTGAACCACATGTTTTTCTTTCATTTATGGTGTCTTATGTTTTTTGTTCCTCCAAATCCCACTGTGGAGACTTTCTATTTAAACCTTCACAAAGAATTCCAGCTCATTGAGCACAGCATCAATAGACAGGCACATAGAGGACCAATACTGGTTGGAAGAAATGTCTTTCACAATTTGTATTAACTTTCACCTTATGGCTATTTGTATTAACTATGTGTCCTGTTAAAATTAACAATCAAGCATTCATTTAATGTTACCAAAATGCAATAATTTCACTGATCGCTGACTGCTGATCACCTCTACTGATCGTTTTATTATGATAAACTCATAAAACAAAAAAAGGAAACCAATAACTAGTCTTTGTAATCAATATTGTACATATCTATGCACAACAACAACAACAAGATGACATTTGTATAGCGCCTTTCAGGTCGGGAGGACGTCCCAAGGCACTAAGTTGTTTTATTTTATCTTTCTGAACCATTCACCTGTCTGAACATTGAAGGCACGAAATCCTTTGAATCAGCTGTGTAAAAATAACAGTTTATAATAATAGTGTTTCTTTACTGGTATCTTTATCTATCGTAGGTAGGTGATTGGATTCTCATTTCAATCTCTGCATCATCTATTATGTACTCCTATTTATGATCCTTAAAGACAGATTGATGTTTGCCAAGTCTCGGTTCCACAAATACAAGTGATTGTTTCTTCAATTTGTTTCATAGATGTTCAGAAGGAGTATATTCTAGTATACAGTGATACTCAACGTATCAACAATTATAACAAGTTTAAAAACAGTGAAATGTTCATTAAATCTTGTAGAATTACCAGGCTTTTTAAATATGTAGTTCACATACACTGGATCTTGTAATATCAATTCATGGTTGCACCTTCTGTTTCTTGGATCTGTAAAAATAATATGATTTAACATAAATTAACAAATAATATGTTTAGAAGCTTTTTTTGAATACAAATAATCCAGCTCTTTTGGTTCCTATGGATATTGTGATCTAAATGAAGGGTAATGAACATTAATGAAAATGTCTATTATTTCCTTGTGCCAAAGCTGCAGTACTCCAACTGTCTTGCCAAGGTTACTGCAACTATTTTTTTTAACAAGGTTTTCACTCGTGGTACCCTTGCTCTGGTAACCTTGAGAGATTTCAATTGAAAGGAGACGCATGGAACTATTCAGAAAATTCAGAGATTAAAAATGGAAACCTGACATTGAAATATCACAATAGACTGAAAGATCTTCACTTGTTACAATTATCTGTTATTTGAGACTCCTTGCAGGGAAGATAAGTTGTGGACTTGAGCTAATAGGGCATTATTTTTAATTTACATTTAATGC